TTATCACCTTGTTTCAACGCTCATTGTCCATTTTATCAGCTCCACTACAATTACAGACTGTTGTCCATCTGTTTCTCTGCATACTTTGTTAGCCCCCTTTTACCCTGTTCTTCAGTGGTCAGGACCCCCATGGACCCTCACAGAGCAGGTACTATTTGGGTGGTGAATCATTCCCAACACTGCAGTACCACTGATGTGGTGGTGGTGTGTTAGTGTGTGTTGTGCTGGTCTGAGTGGATCAGACATAGCAGAGACATGGACGTTTGGTTCCTTTCACCACCACTGTGAACAATTCTGTTTCTTTAGAATGGAGCATTTTACATCAAACCACGCTGAATGACTTTGTTTACATCTCACTCGTTTAATTATGCAGATATTTTAAATGGAATTTCATAATATCTGCATAATTTCCCTTTACGTAATCTCAGATAGACTTCGACACCCAAACAGAGCATTATTTGTGCAGTATGGACGTGCCTGAATCCCAAATCTCCACTTCTTAGCTATATTATGTACTGTTTGGGTGCAGAAGCCAGTATTTGAATTCCTACACAGTGCACTATATTTGAGATTCAGTCCCAGTGTGGAGGAAAGGGACATACAACACCATTAGTTTGGTGCTAAATAAAACTGGAAATCGCATAGAGGTGGTGAAGGAAGTCAGAGTCACCATCCAGTGTGCAAAAAGTGAAAGTTTTACATTAAACAGTGTTATGATTATTAAACAGTCATGTTTATTATTATATGACAGAAAGTTTAAAAGGTTCATGGAATCACTGCTGTAGACAGTGATGTGCGAAAATTCTTGTTCTTTTTCAAGAGTCTGTGGTTGGATGGAAACAGTCTTATACTCTAAACTACGTATCTTGGTGAAAAAATTGTTTATCTCTATTATTAATATTTAAGATCCTAAATCTTTATTAGACAGATTGTGTGTTTTATCATATTTAATGTCATCTGCTGTTTTATAAAAGCAGTAAGCCACTTGAGGCTGCACATTACAGTGATTTTATCAGGGGTAAGAGAGTTTCACTGTGCTTCATGTCATGCCTAATAACACCCTTACCTGTGGTAAACGTACAGGCTAATTGCTTTATTTTGTCTGTACATTTGTCCATTTTTACCAAATTATTCCTTTAAGCCTGCGATCCACCTGCCAACTACTCTGGCAGTCCATTTAGGGGGTGAAGAAAGAGTGACCATTGGGCACAGACAGTTCTTTCCGCTCCTGTATTCCCTCTTTCAGTTCGTCCTTTACCTCCCACACCGCCACAACTCAACTTCAGGTCCTGTATTGAAGGATGGCTGAAAAACAGGTGTAATGGCCTCCATAATAGACCTCTGAAAAGCTTAATAAGCTAGTGTCATCTTCTCATCTCCCCGCCTCAGACCCTGGGGGCTGAGTGTTTACTTGGCCACGCTCAGGCATTAGCTCTTAGCACTAGACCTGCAAAATAAGGCTATTTTTACTCTAATCTCTCACCGTAATATCCACTAACGGGCTTAGCTGCTCTGTGACAGGAAGCTAACACTCTTCTGAAGTTCACAGACCCAAATAGCCTCTTACAACTGAGAGTGTATTGATGGGGTCAGACGCTGCGGCCCCAGGACGACCCCTGCAGCTGACAGGCTACCACTGTGACCATATAGCAGAATAACTTATTTTTTACTCACAGAAGAACCGAGTGCACTTAGCTGGTTAAGTACTGCTTTAGTCAACCTCTAAAGGTCAGTATGTGGCCCACGCTTTTCATATTAGTTTCATAGGTCTTTCTTGTGCCTATAGAAAAAAAAATGTATTTATTTGGTTTTATAGCCTTTATTGAGGTAATACTGACTGTCTCTCAGGCCTTCAGTGCAGAAATGTGCTTGTAGTGCTGATGTAAGTAGTTGTTAGTATTTCATTTTTTTATTGCAGAATATTAAAGAGTGTTTTTGTAATTTTGTACTTTGCTGTTTGTTTAAATAGAGATTAGTTTGATTTCTGTTTACACATCCCAAAAAAATGTCTGCGCTTACTGTAATAGTTAATTTATCGCTTCTCATATCATCGTCATGATATTCGACAGCTTTAACGAACGTCGCATTTTATGTCAAAATCGTGCAGCCCAAGTTTAGAGAGAGTAGATGCTCAGTAATTTATCGTAGATAATATAAAGCTATATTAGTCATTGAAAAATTCATATCATTTATAATATTTATTTAATAATTCATATTAATTAATGAATAAATAATAGTGGGTACTAAACGATTTATAGTAGTTATTGAATGATAAATATTTAGATTAATATCTGTGTAATAAGCTCTAAGTTGATTAACAGTAGATATTGAATAATTATTAGTTACTGAATAATTCGAAGTACATACTGAATAATTTATTGTTATTCCAGAATAATTATTAGTAGTTACTGAATAGTTCATATTAGTTACTCAATAATGTCTTAAGATTAACAAGTGAATAATAAGCGTAAGAGTTTAAATGGTTAGGCTATAGGTGATGAGGAGCTGCTCTAATGGAATCCTTCTTTTACTGGTTTGTTATCTTTTTTTGGTTTGTTTTGCTGTGGCCTGAATTAGAGAAGCACATGCAGGAATATGAATGAAGGCATATGAATGAGTTTGCCGCTATTTCTGGATCAGGGAAGCCCGCGGGAGGCACGTGAGGCCAAAGCTTCTAATGACCAGTGTGATGGACTGGCGCAGGGTCATTAATAAGCAGCTTTCACTCTGACTAACCACACAGCCTCATCCGCTGGAATCGCTCGTCTGCTGGAATTTTTCTAAACAGGCCAAATAAGATATTAAAGGGCCCATATCATGAGAAAACAAACGTTCTGGTCTTTGTTTTTTTATTATTGTTTAGAATTATTATGGCTTTAATTATGTACAATTCAAGGTTTCAGTCCATATATGGAAACGTGCAAGCTGCAAAAACAGTTTATTGTGGTTGTGATGTCATAACCATGAAATCATATAACCACCTTACCATTTTACAACAGTTTAGCCTCACTTGCTCCACTTGCTTACTTGTGACAGGGTCAGCAAGTCAGAGCAGGGGTCATTTACATATGTCAGTTGTAAAAGGCACACAAACAAAAACAGGGATAAATCTAGATTGGAAAAAAAATGGTCATGTAAAAATGAACTATGACTGTTTTTGGTACATAAAACCTTGTGCAACATAAGTGGACCTCAGAGGTTAAATAAAAGAAGGATATGGACTCTTTAAAGGGAGAATTCCACCAATTTTTAAAACTTTCTGAATAACTAAACAAGTAAAGAGACATTCAGAGGGGTTTTGTGTGAAATGCTCCATTCTAGAGAAACTTACCAGGTCAGAATTGTTGACATTGGTGGTGATAGGAACCAGACATCTGATCCAAAAAACAGACATTGTTTTACGGTCTAAAATGAATTTAACAAAATCCTTTAATCACGGAGGGGTACGTGCAGGGCGTTGTGAGGCAAAGTAGCCCCCCCCCAAAGTGTTTTTTTCAGATTTACCACTATTTTACCATCATGAACATCCACATAAAAGCTCAGGAGACTCGTGTAGGTTCACTGGTGGTTTTGGTTGGTAAATAAAATGTCTATATTTGTGTTGTAGTCATGGTGACCCCTGGTTCCTATCAGCACCACTGTAAGTCAGAGACTGTATGTTTCTCTACAATAAAGTATAGAAATTTTGAGAAATTGGTGGAATTTCCCTTTAATATTTTCCTTATATTACTATACTTTATTCCTGATTTGTATTATTTTGCTGAAGGTGGTGTAGATGTCCATACTAAAGTGTAGCTGTTGCAGGTCATGTGAGGTGTTGGATGTCAGGTTTCTTCGGGCACGAGCTGCAAAATGCTGCTGCTCCTCTCTGCCGCAGAATTGAAAAGCTTCCTCCAATTTAACGAGAAAACGTGTCCTTGAATCCTCGAGTGGTGCTTCAGCATCTCTCTTCCTCTTTCATCTGTGCTCAGTTTCTCTCTCTCTCTCTCTCTCTCTCTCTCTCTCTCTCTCTCTCTCACTCTCTCTCTCTCTCTCTCTCTCTCTCTCTCTCTCTCACACTCTCTGTCTCTCTCTCACTCTCTCTCTCTCTCTCTCTCTCTCTCTCGCTCTGTCTCTCTCTCTCTCTGTCTCTCTCTATCTCTCTCTCTCTGTCTCTGTCTCTCTCTCTCTCTGTCTCTCTCTCTCTCTCTCTCTGTCCCCTTCACGCTGTCTCACAGCAGCTCGGGGGCAGCGTTACATATTTAAGATTGGATTATGAAGAAGAAATGAGGTATGGATGAAAAAGACGTGTCTCTCTTTTAACTCATTTAATTCTCTTTCTCTCTCTCTCTCCCTCTCTCGCTCTCTCCCTCTCATATTTTCTTTCACTCTCTATCTGTCTTCATCACTCTCTCTTTCTCCTCTTGTCCATTTGTCCATTTCTCCACCTCTTTCTTTCTCCCATTCTCTTTTTCACCCCTTCTCATCCATCGGCCTTTATCTCTCCATCACTCCTTCTTATTTTCTCTCTCTCCCTTGACCTCTTTCTTTTTCCTTCTCTCTTTCCGTCTCTATCTCCTTACCTCTCTCTACCACCTTTCTGTATTTCTTTCTTTCCCTCTTTTTCTCTTTGTTTCTCTCCCACTCTGTTTTTATTTCCTCTCTCTTTCTGTTTGTTCTGTACCTCTTTCCACTTCGCTTCTCCCTCTCCCTTTATCTCTCGTTTACTTTCTTTCTGTCTTCTCTATCTTTATCTCTCTTTCTCATTCTCTGTCTTCTTTCCCTCTCTCCCTTTCTCTTCTTCTCTCCATTTCTCTCTCTTTCTCTCCTTCTACCTCTCTCTCTCTTCTCTCTCCTGTCCCCCTTCTCTCTCCCTTTCTGTTTCTCTCTCTTTCTCTGTCCCCCTCTCCCTCTCACTCTTTCGCTCTCTCTTTCTCTCTCTCTGACTCTCTTTCTTCCCCCTCTTTCTCTGTCTTCTATCTGTTCTCTCTCATTACTCCCCCCTCCTCTCTCTCACTCAGGTCTCCAGAAGTGTGGAGTGATCAGTCTCTCCTCCAGTCTCTCTCTCTCTCTCTCTCTCTCTCTCTCTCTCTCTCTCTCTTTTTTTCTCTCTCCATGCTGGTGTTTAACGGCTGACCCATGGGCCGCTCTCCGGTCAGCCTTTCCAGACTGAAGCTGGGGAGATTAAAGGTCGTGCGGCGGCAGCTGCTTCAGCGTTATGAACACCAGCCCTTCGTCTCCTGTCTGGCCGGACTGTACGGCTGCCAGTGGAGGCGCTATCAGAGGGCTAAAGCTCAGCCTGGAGAGTGCTGCTGCAGCCGGGTGAGAGGACACGCCCTCCCTTCTCCTGAAATGTTTTAATGTTGGATTTACACTTAAGCATTCAGGCAAGCTTTACATTGACTCTTTAGGAAAAGACCAACAAATTAAGCCTGTCTCTGAACATTACTGGAGCAGCCTGTTAACTTGTTAGCCTACTCTACTCCAGAGTGTACTCCTGTTACAGAGAGACTGTAAGCAGGGCACCGAAGGCGCATGTTACTTTTAGAAACTATTTTGGGAAAATCAGCAATCAAAAATACTTACATGTGGGAAATACTAACCAATAGAACACCAGAGGCTGTGTGCTATCACAAATGACTTCTTCGGTACTCGAATATCAAAACTAGTCAGAATTCACGTCCGTAGCATAAACATCTAGAAATATAACATGTACAACTCTTAATTGGACAAGCATGAAGCTCTCCCGCGCATGCAGCAGCAATTCACATCCTCATATAAGCTAAACATCCTGACAGCGCGCACACAAACCCGCTGTAAACCCTCCAGCTGCTGTGCTTCATTATAGAAAGCTTATTCGCTCACTTTGGCTGCATTTGCTGATTTCACTTTTCTCGAGTGTGCTGAGCGCTGCATCGATTACACACTCTCTGCTGACACATGCTGTTTTGTAAAAGGAGCATTTTTTCACTCCAAAACAAATCTGCCCTGATTTAGCTCTAAAACCTTCTTATGACTAAATAGAGGGTGCGTATAAAGGTTGCTCAAGCACTGCGATGGTTTGAATCATGATGTGGTGCTATTCGTCAGCAGTATTAGAACAGCTGCGACGCTTGGCCCTTGGATGACTCACTCTTTCTTTGTGTGAGCTAAGAGGCCGGGGCGTATTGATTTGTTGATTTGTGGGATTTTAAAGGGTGCATTAGTCTGACGCACTTCTACAGAATCCCCTCACACTGACATGCGCTAAGTCAGTCACTAAAAGCCGTTCTTATTGTGTGTGTTATCTGTGGTTGTTTCAGTTGGAGTGTGGAAGTTTCGGCCTCCTCATCGTTACGTTTTTCCTGACGCTGGTGTTCCTGTATTTCTGGAGCGAGGCTCAGAATGACTACAACGACTTTGATTGGTAAGCATAAACGCCGCAGCACAACGGAAGTGCCGCCCACGACTGCAGCATCCAAAATTTCAAAACCACTATTTCAAATGAAGGTACGCACATCAGCGACAACATTCGATTCCGAGCATGGGATACCTGTATTTTCTGGGTGCTGTGTTTCCAAGGTTACATATTCCCACCCTGCTGAAAAAGAAGTGCTGGTTTAGCTGGTCACCCAGCATGGTCATGCTGGTTAACCACCATACCAGCTTCCAAAACACTACTGTGGTAGTTTTTCTAGCAGGGTAGGACTGTATGTTCCTTATGTTCAGCTCTTTATGCATCATAAGTCAACATGATACTTTAAGGAGACCCACAAAACGTTTCCAAAGTCATGGTTAACATCATAAGGTCATCCAAGGTCATACAGGGAACAACAAGGAGCAGGTTTTTCAATAGGAATGCACTTATCCTTAGCTAGGCTAGGGTAATTTACAGAGAGAAAAACAGTCAAGCTCATTTAACATCAGACGTGGTAACCGTGCCGCATGACGCACCACGCAATATGCTCCTATATTAATCAGTGTAGCCTTTTGCACCAGCCGCACACATCACGCGGCATGTAGCGCTAAAAATACGCTCTGGGTCTATATCTGACGCGTGCCGCACGCAGCGTGCTAGTAGTTTCTGTGCAGAAACAGCAGTGAAATGCAATGTCTCTGCTATAATATAGGCTAATAAACAAACCAACAAATCTAGTTTTAAGTCTTTGACAGGTTGACTGACATCCTTTGAGTAGGTTAATGTTGTGAACACACAGGCATCTCCTCCTCTTCATATAGCGCTACATCACCTGGCAGCTAGTGAAGGTTTTATTGTTGATCTCTTTATGTCATCATCTACATGAAGCTTATATGAGTAATAAACAGACAATACAGATGTTTATATTATGTGACAAACGCAACACAAACAGCTACCGCGCTTGCTTTGTGACGCGTCCAGTGTGAAATACCAAGCGACGCGTAGTGGTTCTGGATTAACGTGCCACATCTGTGTGAAATGGTGTGAAATGGGCCTTAGTCTTTTCGATAAACAGACAGATGCTAATGAAAATGTTACCTCAGCTAACATTACTACCTTAGTCTTTTTCTCTCCTTGTGTGTTTCATCTCTAAAACGGTCAGTTTGTGAAATTAATTAACTGATGCCAAACATGATAAATCATTTTGAAAGTTAAATTTCATTAAAGCAGAGTTTAAAAATGAACTTGAACTTGACACTATTTTGTTGTTGCTTCCACTGCAACATGTTCTATGTAGTATAACAGCACTCTGTACTGTATCAGCTACATGATGCTATGCGATGCTACACAGGTCGCTGAAATTCCACTTATTTTTCAAAATTTCTGTATCATTCAGTGGTGGAGATGTAAATAGTCATTCTGAGGGGTTTGATGTGAAATGGTTCATGGTATAGAAGCTTACAGACTCAGATTTCTTTACAGTGGTGGTGATAGGAACCAGGGGTTGTGATGTCTACAACACAAATACAGCCATTGTATTTACTATACAGAGCCACCAGTGAACCTACGTGTGTCTTTGAATTTATTTATGTAATGTTGATGGTGGTAAAATAATGATAAATCTGAAAAAAGTCTTCTTTGGGGACTATTTTGCCTTAGAACACTGTGCATGTTCCCCCCTGCCATGACTGGATTAAACAATAGGTTTCAGGCCAAAACCTTATTTCAAAACGATCATAATACAAGGCATCAGGCAGCATATTCATAACCTTTTAGTGTAATAATTGTCGGTGAGGGAACTTTTAGAGACATTGAACTCTTCAGACGTCTGGTTCCTATCACCACCACTGTGAACAAATCTGACTCAGTACGTTTCTCTAGAATGCAGCATTTGACACTAAACCACTCTGAATGACTTTGTATTCATCTTGAACATTCCCCTTTAAAATGGCAGCATCTTAAAGTCTTATGTCTTGAGGCTTGTGATTATGAACATATTGATTGCCCATTGTCTTTTGATAGCAGCCCATAATTGGCTGTTGACCATCTAAAGACACTGCTGACGGTCTGCATTCTGCACACTAAATTAATCTGGATTTGTTGTCGACTCTATGTTGTGTGCACTCAGGTTTAACTTCGGAAACCTGGGCTTTTGGTTCCCCTGGTCGGTGGTGCTGCTGGTGGCGTCTGCAGCACTTTTCACCTACATCGCCCTCCTGCTGGTGAGAATATGGAACTGCAGCTATGTTAAACTTAGCTCTGTGAAGTGTTTTGCTTGTTATCTGATGTAATTTTACATACTGGCAGGTCTTAGCGGTGTGCCTTCTCTCTGAGGGACAGAGGCTTTACCTACACTGGAGCCACAAGGTGAACACTTTATGGTTTATGGCCTTTATTATTATTTCTGCAGTGAATTTAAATAAAGTGAGGGGACACAATATTTTGGCACTTCTGTTTTTGTTATTTAATATACTTCCATTGCATATATTTGTTCATATTTTACAAGTACAAAACCAAAAAAATAGTTTGATTGCTCAGCAGAAGCTTGTTGCTAGGCGGTTGCTGATGTGTATCTAGGCAGTTGCTATGGCAAGAGGGGTGCGAACTGAGTGGTTGTTAGCTAAGTGTTTTTGCTAAGTGTTGTGAAAAATGAATGGGAGTCTATGGGGGGAACAAGGGATGAAAAAAACGACACACGGAGGAGCGCAGGTCAGTATGCCTGTGAATTACACCTTGGGGTTCTGCCCTGAATGAGTCCATGCAGTCTAGTATCTGTTGGGCAAAGGAAAGGTTAGGATTTGAATGGGGACAAAAATGAACGGGACTCTATGGGAGGAATGAGGGATGAAAAACGACACATAGAGGAGTGCAGGTCAGTATGCATGTGCAGTAGAGTTTGAGGTCCTGCCTTGATTGAGTACATGCAGTTTGGTGGCTGTCGGGCAAAGAGATAATACGCCTAGTGTGGAGTCAAAAATGAATGGGACTCTATGGGAGAAACGAGGGATGAGAAAAAATGACAAACAGATGAGTGCAGGTCAGACCAACATTGAGTTTGTGCTTGGGGGCCTGCCCTGAGATAGTATATGTGAAATGGTGTCTTTCGGTTGAGCAGAAGTACAGTAGGTGGGCGTGCAATTTTTCACCCCATTCATTCCTATGGGAAAAAATGTGTAATTTAACGAAGATTGTATGAAAACCGTACGTCGGATCAAAAAGCAGTACACAAGCACACCTTTCCTGATCAGACCAAACATTCCGAAGTTAGAACAGTGTTGATATCTTGAAAACTGTGGGTTGTGTTAGTGGACAAAAATCCAGCAGAAGAAGAAGAAGAATATATAATTAGGAGAACAATAATGTTGCACAATCAATAACATCAAATACATTATGTGTGTCAGTTTGAAGTGGATATGTGCACTGGAAGTATATTAAATAAAAGCAAAAGTGCCTGAATACTTGTTTCCCCTCACTGTATAAACCGTATTGAATAACTCTGATATTTTCTTTTTTCGGTTTTTATAGATTGGTATTCTGGTGACCCTCACCTTCTCTATCAGTGCTACAGCTGTGCTCTCTGACCTATGGAGCAAAGAGTGGAAAACGCTCCTGCTTTCCTTTCAGGTTGGTCAGTCCACATTAACTCACAAACTCAGGTGGTATTCAGATCGTCTCAGCAGCTTCATTACAGTCACTTACGTGCCTGAATGATTGAACTTATTAATAATATTGCCGTTTATTGTCTGAATTGTCTGCAGGTCACAGCACCCTTTCTGCATGTGGGTGGAGTCTTGTTAATGACTCTCCTATCCTGGCCAGTAGCCTTACACTTCTTTCGAATGAATAAGAGAGGTGAGTACTGCTGTTCACTGTAGTTTTGCCTGTTGCTGTTTTTGCTGCAGTAGGTTGGCTTAATTTCTACTGAAAGCTACAGTAGAGGTTCCCAACAGCCAGGCTGCATACTGGTGCCGGGCCCAGGGAGTTAACGGCCCGAAACAATGCAGCAGTGAGCAAGGAAAACCACAAAAAATATACCACTGAAAGGGTTCAGCTCTGGTTACAAGTTAAAGAACTTATTTAGTTCTATACACCTTAATTGAAACGTTATGGGTGGTATAGTGTGGTGGGTAACACCTCTGCCTTCTATGCTGTAGACTGGGGTTCAGTCCCCACCTGAGTAAACACCCTACAGTCCTTGGGCAAGACTCCTAACACTACCTTCGCCTACCTGTGTAAAAAATGAGCAAATTGTAAGTCGCTCTGGATAAGAGTGTCTGCAAAATGCCATTAATGTAAAAGGGAATTCCACTGATTTTCTAAAAATTCTGTATAATTAAACTGATAATAAGTAAAGGAAATCAGTCGCAGTAGTTTGGCGAGAAACGCACCATTCTAGAGAAACACAATTAAATTATGAAGCTAGAATTTTTCACAGTGGTTCTGATAGGAACCAGGTGTCCATATGAGTTTTATGCTGGTAAAAGCTACATCAGGGTAGGTTATTACATAAAATGGTTATGAATATGTTGTCTGATGCCTGAGGCATTGCTTTACAAAAGTTTTGGCCTAAAATATATGTTTTTTAAATCGATTTATGGCGGAAATGTAAATGCAGGGCGTTCTAAGACAGAATAGCCCCCAAAGAAACCATATTTTTTCAGATTTATCACTATTTTATCATCATCAACGTTCCGTATAAACCTCAAAAGATACGCATAAGTTAACTGGTGGTTTTGGATAGTAAATAAAATGGCCACCACCACTGTAAACAGTATCTAGGTTATTAAGCTTATCTACCATGATCCATTTCATACAAAACACTCTGAATGATTTTGAATTGAATTAATCAGAACTTTTGTTTTGTTTGGAAAAACACACTGGGACTAATAGCTTATTAGACGTAAAGTAAATAAGGGGGCAGCTGGCATGTTTGTTAGTTTGGCTTTGAATTTGCATCTAGACAAATAGAGCTGTTTTGGAACAGTGTACTCCGGTCCACAGAGCCCTGCTGGTGACATCCTGTATGAATAAAAATAATGCGTGAGATAATTACATTGTGACCATGACTTAGTAAGGCGTGGAAACTAAAAACCTAATGCATGGCCGTGACTTAGTAAGGGAATGAGATAAGTTGTGGCCCCAATTTAGTAAGGCGTGGGAACGAGATCCAGTGCTCTCATCATTGAAAACCCTATAGTTAACATGACAGGCCCAGTAGCTTGTTAGACATAGTGGAAGTAATAAAGGGGTGGGGACAGTTTGGCTTTGCCTGCAATTCAAAACAAAACAAAAAAGGCATTTTCACAGCTGGTTATGTGAGATTTCTGTTTATTACAGTTACAATACCATATTCATAGTGCATGATAGTGATGAATGAGTAAATGAATATCAGTGTGTCTGTGTAAAGATCAGAGCTCTCTGCTCCAGCTCCTTACATCAGTTGTTTGATGTGTTTGTGAAATGCGGTCGGAGATGACGCATCAGTCGTCTTTGGCGGGCAGAGTGTTTCTCTCTGTGGCTTCATCACTTTCTATCTCGTTCTTTCTTTGTATTCCTCTCACTCTTCTTCTGCGGCCCTCCCTGTCTCTCCATCTGTGTGTCTGGTTGTCATGGGTGATGAGGTGGGGGGCTGACTCACGTCTGGACTCTCAGAGGGCGCCTGATGAGGGGATGACTAACGAGGGAGGGAGAGAGAGAGAGAGAGAGAGAGAGAGAGAGAGAGAGAGGGGGTTACAGGCTTGCACCGACTGTGTCAGCTGTTCTATTGTTCAAACACCACACTGACATCTTTCTCTTGACTCTGTCTCTCTCTGTCTCTCTCTCTCTCTCTCTCTCTCTCTCTCTATATATATATATATATATATATATATATATATATATATATTAGACACTCCTACCTTGTCAGTCCACCTTGTAGATGTAAAGTCAGAGACGATAGCTCATCTGCTGCTGCACAGTTTCTGTTGGTCATCCTCTAGTCCTTCATCAGTGGTCACAGGACGCTGTTGGCTGGATATTTTTGGTTGGTGGACTATTCTCAGTCCAGCAGTGACACTGAGGTGTCCAGCAGCACTGCTGTGTCTGATCCACTCAGACCAGCGCAACACACACTAACACACCACCACCACATCAGTGTTACTGCAGTGCTGAGAATGATCCACCACCCAAATAGGACCTGCTCTGTGAGGGTCCATGGGGGTCCTGACCACTGAAGAACAGAGTATCCAGAGAAACAGATGGACTACAGTCTGTAACTGTAGAACTACAAAGTGACCCTATATGGTCAGTGGAGCAGATTAAATGGACAGAGAGTGTAGAAACAAGGTAGATATACCTTGAAGTGCTCAGTGAGTGTATATATTTATCTTTCTCTCTCTCTTCTGTATTTTATTTCTGTCTCTCTCTTTTGTTCCTCTCTCTCTTTTTTCACGTTTTCTTTCTCTCCATCTCTCTTCTCCTCTTTACGTCTCCCTCTCCAACTCCTTCTCTCTCTCTCTCTCTCTCTTTCTCTGTTTGTGTCTCCATCTCTTTACATCTCTCACTTTTCACTCTCTCCTCTATCTGTGTCACTTTCACTCTTTCTCTCTTCTTTCTCTCTCCTCTTTCTATCTTTCTTTCACACCTTCTCTTCCTCTCCCTTCTTTCTCTCTCCACTCTATCTCTCTTTCTCTCCCTCTGCTCTCTTTCTCCCTTCTCTCTCTATCTCCCTCTATCTCTCCATCTCCTTCCTCTGTCTCTCCTCTTTCGTTCTCTCCCTGTATCTTTTTATATCTCTCTTTGTCTTTTTCACTCTCTTTCCTCTCTGTTTCCCTCACATTGTCTGTCTTTTTCTCTTTGCATCTCTCTCTTTACATCTCTCTCACTCGCTGCCTTGCTCTCTCTGTTTGTCCCTCTTTTTCTCTTTACATCTTTCTCTGCTCTTTTGCTGTCTTCTCTCTCTTTCATTCTCACTTTATCTCTCTTTTTCCTCCTCTCACTTCTCTGTTCCCTCTCTTTCACTCTTTCTCTTTTGTATTTACATCTCTATCTCTGTCTCTCCTCTCTCTATCTCTCCTCTTTCTTGCTCTGTATCTCTTTATCTCTCTTTGTCTTTTTCACTCTCACCTCTTTCCCTCGTAGCATCTCTCTTTCACTCTTACATATCTATCTCTCTCTCCTCTTTCATTCTCTTTCACTTCATCTCTTTTTCTCTTTACATCTCTTTCTCTGCTCTTTTGCTGTCTTATCTCTTTCACTCTTACTTCTTTCACCTCTCTTCCTCTCTCTCTCACCTCCCTATTCCTTCTCTTTCTCTCTTTCACTTTCTATTTACACCTTTTTCTCTCTCTCTTCCTCTTTCTCTCTCTGTATGTATCTCTCATTTTCTCTTTCTACTCTCTCTCTCTCTTTTCTATATTATTTTAATGTAATCACATATTTACATAATTATGTAGTTACGTGATGGACTAGATTTAAATTTGATTACGTTCTGTATGGACAGCTTCGAGTCTGGACTTCTTCCTAAAGAGTAGTTTAGAGTCTCCTCTTCTCAAGTTCTCCTCTTGTTCTAATAAGTTATGAGTGAGAAATAATTCATGTAAAATTACAGCGGTTATTGGTGGTAATATCTGCTACTTCTAAGGGCTGTTTAGATCAGCAGGGTCAACTCTGAGGGCTGTATTAGGGAGAGCTGAATGTGGAACCGTAAAGCAGAGACATAAACATGTGATTATCACCCTGTTTTTCCCATAACAGACTGACGTCACTTCCTAACAGAGTTGTGTAATGACTTATTAAACCACCTTTGTACCAGTCCTGAATACCGCTGTTTTATAACTGCAGCAGGATTGCACAGACCTGGACTCAGACCCACAGAGTGTATTCAGGAATGTTCTTCTCTGCCTGAACAAACAGGCTTTAAGTGGAGAGTGAGGTGGGTCTGTAGCAGGTGTTGGGTCAGATCACACGGCTTTCGTAAGTGCTGGTTATGAATGCTGTCTGATTCACACTGAATGAGCTCCATTCTGTTCAGCCACGGCCAGAGAACATCTTTACATATCAGTCGTGGTGCTTTTATGACTTAATAAAAAGTTCAGCATGACGTACTGGATTTGAATATGATCATATTACAGTACTGTGCAAAAGTTAACCCCTGTGTGGTGTTCACGTTTTTGTTTTATTGGCTTTTCAAATCAATACAGCCATATCAATTTATGTAAAATGCCAGATGTTTAAAATATCAGAAGTGCCCAGTGTAGGGTTCTCCTTTAGCAGCTGTAGCCAGTCAGCAGCCTGTCCATGTTGTCCACCCACACACACACACACACACACACACACACACTAACAGCAGACCATGTAGGAGGAGAACAGAGTGAAGAACACAGCACCTCCATACTTTTACTCCCCGCAGGTTCAGCCCAACACCATGTGTAATATAAATGTGTGGGGGGTGAACAGAGTGAAGACACTGAAAATGGGTTATTATATATGTTCTTCACAGAAAATGAGCAAAGAACAAGAAATCTGAGGTTGAAATAATAATTATTCGCATCATTTTTTTTTGGTGAACATTGAAAATGGGTCCCACAGACCTGAACACCACACAAGGGTTAAATGCCACCAGGAGTGTTGGCTGGGCATGTAAAGGTCCAGCGATCAGCCCTGTTCATTGTAGGATTGTTTTGGACTATCCTGACCCACAGTTTTTGAAGCATCTGTTAATGGGTAAACAAAATCATGAAAAAAAGAAAATTAGAGTGAAAACACAGCCTGTAACAGAAAATGAAAAAAACATCAATTTAAAAGATGCTAAAACAAGCCATTCCATCTGGGTGATTTTGTGAGTGTACTGATAACCATTTTAGAGGCCTGCTTCTGAACCCGAGTCTGAGGGCCCAACAAAATATCACGTTTTGTGCTGCGTGAGGGCCAATTTTGCACGTACATCAGGCCTGGGCTGCGCTTGCTCTCTGGGTCATTTTTATGTAGTAGATTGGCTTTTTTCTTTCTCTCTCTCTCCTTCTCTCATTCTCATTCTCTCATAACATTATAGTCTAGAGCTGTGTTTGGAAGAGCTCTGTTGTTGGAGGGGTGGGTGAATGTGCCCCTGAATCACACAGTTGGTGATTAGAGAGATGTGCAAATGAGCTTGGATAAAACGTGTTACATCTGCAGGGATGTTTCTCCACAACTCCTTAGTTCAGTCTTAGAAGCTGGTTGATCATTTTCTGAAGTAATCAAACACATTGAGTGATGTTGAGGTCTGGACTCTGGGGTGGTCAGTCCATTGTTCAGCTTCTTTGTTCGATGTGTCTGTCTCCTTTTCTCTGTGAGGTTCTTCTTGATCAGCTACACATCCTTTCAGACCCACAGCGCTGAGTCGTCTTCTCACAGTGGAAGGATGGACAGAAACACCTGTGGATGTTTTCAGATCTGAAGCAGCTTGATTTTCTCCTCTCTCTCAAAGATGAAAGCTTTGAGTGTTGTTTATCTGATGGGGGCAGTTTTGGTGTCGACCAGGTCTTCCAGGTGGTTGTTAGGAGTCACATGTTTTCTGCAGCTTTTAATAATTTTTGGAACTCTAGTTTTGTAAACTTATGTTTTTTTGTGACTTATTTTCCTTTAACTTTCTCCTTCCTCATGCAAGTCTTATATCTGATCTCCTCAGATGTTTGCACAGTACTGGACTTACTGTGGCTTGATTGGAGCCCACAAAGGCAAATGCTTGAGTATAAATGTTGACTCCATTTATTTAGTTTCCGATTGATTCCATTAGACTTATTATTAAAAATAAACTCACCTTAATGGAACTTGAGAAACTATTTACACAGTAGTGAAATATGCACAATAAAAACAACGAAAGGTTTGTTTTTTTTGGATTTTTTCATTTAAAAATAGCCCGTAAATTATATCCTGGCCTAAAAATATTATTATAATGAATTCTAGCATTCCAGAACTGATGAATCTCTACCTTCATATCTTCTCCAGCTACCACTTAAATTGCTGTATTTCTAAATGACGTGTGTGTTTCTGTATTGTGTTTGTTGTGCAGTGAGGCAGGTGATTATTCTGGGTCTGTATCTGGCTGTGCTCTTCACTCTGTATCTGGTTCCGCTGGGCATGTATTCCCCCTGCATTAAAGAGGAGGGCACACTGGGCCCGGCGCCGATCCTCATCGGGCACAGAGGAGCCCCCATGGTAACCTCTCTGTTTATATCACCAGCATCAGTTGTGTGTTTTAACCCTTACATTCACACCACAGGGCATTTCCTCCTGCCTGCTGCTGTCATTATTTCACAGGAGTGACAAAAAAAAATTTAAATATAAAAAATTCCCCTGAAAAAGTCATTGTTTGTTTGACTTAAAATGTCGCAATTAAATAATTTAATTTTAACCTAGGAAAATTTGTACTTTATTGCTGTTGTGCCAAAACCTTGTACCTCCAATATGGTAAATTTGTAGTGGAAGGGAAAAATGTTATTCTCTTTAAATATAAGTTACATTTATTCCTTTTGGGCCAGTTCTGTGGTCTGTTCATCAGGAATATATATGATGTAAAAAGTAACTGCTGTTTTAAAATGATGTAAACTGAATTGTAAGATTTTGACGTGTATGTGACGATGTTCTGACTGTGGCATAACTAAAAAAACGTTTACATTAGCATTTAATTTTTTGAGTATATATAATAAGCACTAAAAAGTTTTAAGAGTTTTACATGCTTATGTTATCGGTGTTTCTCTGAGGCTAAAATCAAGCCGATATGTACCGTCCTACCTCAAGTGTACAACTCAGAACATTAAAATGTTCGCTTTTATGTGGTGATGTTGACCGTTTCCTGTGTATCTCCCAAGCTAATGATAATGCTAGTGACACAGTGCATTTACTTAAGACAGTGAGACAGATGGTTATATGGAAATATGGAAATAACAGCTAAATTAATGTTTTGAGGTGTTTTCTGCTCTTTTCGCATCTCCCATCTCTGTCATTTACAACATTATGCCACAATATACTGCATTGGGCATCCTACACTACACTATACAACAGTACCTTTGACTCTATACTGCATTATACACACTACTCTGTACTACACTGTACATACCATCTCTGTACTACATTATACATACTACACTATACATACTACACTAGACTACACTACATATGACACTAAACAGCACTACACTACACTATACGGCGTTAAACACACTACACTACATTATACAACACTATGCTATGCTATACACTATATACACCACACTATGCATACATGCTTCATTGTACTATGCTAATTATGCTATACATACACTCTGTACACTAATTATACTATACTATAAAAATAGCCACTCCCATCTCTGCCATTTATATTGAAATTTCATATCCCATTAATGTTACAGACTGTGATAAACTGGCATTACCCACCTCTATTTCACATTCTAAGAAATATATTTTCATTTTTCATGCAGGCCTCTGAGTCACAGAGCTGAAATTTTCTGTTGTGTTTATAGCTCGCTCCCGAGAACACGCAGCTGTCCTTCCAGAAGGCTGTGGAGGCCGGAGGAGAGGGGCTGGAGACCGACGTCAGTATAAGGTGAGTTTTTATATTCTGTTTTCCTTTTTGCCTCCATCTGTCTCTCTTTCTCTTTCTCTCCCTTCCTCTTTTGCTCTTTCTTTCTTCCTCTCATTTTCCTACTCTTTTTTTTCTCTCCTCTCTTTCTTCTTCGATCTCTTCCTTCTCGATCTCTTTTCACCTCTCTTAATATCTTTTTCCATCCTCCTTTCTCTATTTCCCTCTCTCTCTTTCAGTCCCATGTTCTCCTTCTTTTTCTCTCTGTCTCTTTCTGTCCTCTCCTGTGGCTACCTTTCTCTTGCTCTTTTTTGTCTCTCTTTACCCCTCTTTTCCATCATTCTTTCTCTTTCTCGCTCTTTGCCTCTTTCACTTTCCCTCTGCCTCGCATGCTCTCCCTTATCCATTACTGTCATTATTTTGAGGCTGTATTAGCCTCCTCTCCTGCTCTCACCTTATAAGTAGCCACACACAACTTCCTGTATGTCCAGTGGTCAGGCACATGTCCAGCCATGAGCTTTCTCCTTTGAGCCCTCTGTCATCAGCTACAGAGCTCACCTTCAAAGATCCATCCATTCATAAGATCCAGTCGTGCTCACTACCTTCAGTTATTTACATTATTTAAGAATATGGCTGCATCCAAAATCACACACTATACTGACTATACTGTACTGCTCCATACTGCACTATACATACTGCTGTATACTATGTTATACATACTACAATAACTATACTACACTATACTACACTATACATACTGCTCTGCACTGTTATACATACTACAATAACTATACTACACTATATTACACTATACATACTGCTCTGCACTGTTATACATACTACAATAACTATACTACACTACACTACACTATACATACTGCTCTGCACTATGTTATACATACTACAATAACTATACTACACTATATTACACTATACATACTGCTCTGCACTGTTATACATACTACAATAACTATACTACACTATATTACACTATACATACTGCTCTGCACTATGTTATACATACTACAATAACTATACTACACTATACTACACTATACATACTGCTCTGTACTGTGTTATACATACTACAGTAACTATACTACACTACACTATACAACACTATGCTGTGCTATACATACTAATCTGTACTACATTATATATGCTACACTATACTAAACACTATACACTATACTGTTATGTATACTACACTACACTATACAACAGTACATTGGACACTATACTGCATTATACACACTACACTACACTACACAACACTATACTACACTATACATATTACTCTGTACTACATCATACATACAACACTACACTACACTATACATACAACCTGGTATACCAATGGTATACTTTGCAATACAACCCCATTTCCAAAACAATTTGAGACACTGCGCAAAATATTAATAAAAACAAAATGCAATGATGTGCAAATCATTTAAACCCTATATTTCATTGAAAACAGTACAAAGACAACATTTCAGATGTTGAAACTGAGAAATTTTATTGTTTTCTGAAAAATATTTGCCCATTTTGAATATGATGCCAACAACACGTTCCAAAAAGGTGGGACGAGGGCAACAAAAGGCTGGTAAAGTTGTGTAATGCTAAAAAAAACACCTGGTGGTTTATTGGCAACAGTTCAGTACCATGATTGGGTATAAAAGAGCATCTCAGAGAGGCGAAGTCTTTCAGAAGTAAAGATGAGGAGGGGTTCACCACTCTGTGAAAGACTGCATGATCAGATGCAGTGCAACAATTCAAGAATAACGTTTATCAACATGAAATAGCAAAGAACTTGGGGATTTCATCATCTACAGTACATAATAACATTAAAAGATTCAGATAATCTGGAGAAATCTCTGTATGTAAGAGACAAGGCCAAAAACCAGTATTTGCTGACCGTGATCTTTGGGCCCCTCAGGCAGCACTGCATTAAAAACAGACATGATTCTGTAGTGGAAATCACTTCCTGGGCTCAGAAACACTTCTGAAAACCAGTGTCTGTGAAAACAGTTTGTCGCTGCATCCACAAATGCAAGTTAAAACTCTAAAACACAAAGAAGAAACCATATATAAACAGCCCAGAAACACTGCTGCCCGACCATTTACTGGACTGGGGTTTCCTGGGTTCTTTTTGGAAATCATGGACACTGTGTCCTCTGCGCTAAAGACCACTCAGCTTGTTATCAGTGCACAGTTCAAAAGCCAGTATTCAGGATGGTATAGGGGTGCATTAGTGCACATGGCATGGATGACCTGCACATCTGTGAAGGCACCATTAATGCTGAACGATACATGTTTTGGCAACATATGCTGCCATTCAGACAACGTCTTTTTCAGGGAAGGCCTTGATTATTTCTGCAAGACAGCATCAAACCACATTCTGCATGTATTACAACAGCATGGGTCTGTATTAAAAGAGGCTGGGATGCTAAACTGACCTGCCTGCAGTCCAGACCTGTCACCCACAGAAAACATTTGGCACATTATGAAATGAAAAATACAACAAAGGAGACCCTGAACTGATGAGCAGCTGAAATCCTTTATCAAACAAGAACGAGAAAACATTTCACTTTCTAAACTACAGCAGTGTCTCCTCAGTTCCCAAACACTTACAGAGTGTTGTTAAAAGAAGAGGTGATGAAGCACAGTGGTAAACAGGCCCCCGTCCCAACTTTTTTGGAATGTATTGTTGGCATCAAATTCAAAATATACATATATTTTTAAAAAAAACAATAACATTTCTCAGTTTCAACATTTGATATGTTGTCTTCGTAGTATTTTTATTGAAATACAGGGTTTACATGATTTGCATATCATTGCATTCTATTTTTATTTACATTCTGCACAGCATCCCAACTCTTTTGGAAATGGGGTTGTACTTTACAATACTACCCTGTACACTGTACTGCTCACATGTATACATGCTGCACTATACTGTACATAGTTTTATATTATACTGTACTAGTGTTCAGATGTTATCTGCATTCATTGTCAGGCTAAAGCAAAAGAGGCAAAACTGTAGAATTCATCCTTCATCTCACTGTCTAACTGTGACAAACTGAGTTTTTCCTGTTGACTCTCTCTAGCTAAAGATTTCTCCTTTGCTGGCAGCCTCTTTCCCCTCATGGTATCGGACAGCTGGGAGGCTATAAAAGCTTACCCAATTTTCCCTGTTTTGTTTTTGTTGCTGTTGTTGCTACAGCCATTATCCACTCAGCACACGATGGCTATATTTTACCTGTCAGGGTGCTTCAATGACTAAAGCTGTAAATGGACTCTGTAGGAGTAAATTCAGGGCTTTGGGTTTTGCTGTGTTTGTTCTGGACTTGCACTGTAAATTCATTTCATGAACAAACCAAAAACAAAAAACATCTCACTGCCTTCAAAGAGTCACTCATTCATAAGATCCTTATCACTGGACACAAGGACACGCCAGCCAGGTGGCCTCTATAAATAGAGAGCAGACACTGGCAGCTGACCATGTGTCACGCCACCCGGCCATGATGAGTAGAAAAGCCCATTAGCGTTACTCTAATCCGGTTAGCGGAGTAGCATCCTCACAGACCCAGCTAGCACGCTAGTTCATATGACATGGACTAGAAGGTCTTTGGAGCTGCTGTTACCTGGGAAAGGTGGTGGGGTAGGAGATCAGCCGCTGATCTGTCTCACAAGAGCCTGTAAAGAAATGCGGTGACTCTGAAGGTTTGTAGGGTGAAGGAGAAGTGAAAGCAGGACATAATTTATTGCGTGCTATATGATGTGCGGCTGAAAGGATGTGTAGCTGTTATGAATCCATTACTGAGAAAAGGAAAGAGGCAAGAAGAGCGATCGTACTAGAACACAGAGGCTGGACATCTGAGATGTGGAGGAAGGGTTTATGGACTGAGTCTAAATTTATAAAGGGGCTACTTTAATTCTGGGAAGCAGAAAATGCAACTAACTTCTAAGACTGAACTTTGTAGAAAAATATCTCTGGCCCTTTTTTAAAAACTGTAATACACTCTAAGGCTCAATCCTGTTTCTTAATTTTACCCCTAACTCTTGTTTTCGAGTGTCACCTCGCCCCTTAGAACTGAGTTACAAGGTAGAGGTTGAAATCTTTCCCTATGAAATGGGACCCTCAAATAAAAAGAGCATCACTTCATTAACAGCTACCAGCGCTGCTCTGTAGGCGACCCTGCCAGTCTGCAGTGACAGCAGAGGAGGGTAAAGTTCAGCTCCTCACTGCTGGGCTTTAGTTACATTTAGGGCATCATATGCCTTCAAAGAGGGGGGCAATTATTTGTTATCACCCACCCCTAATTCTTCAGTGATATGAAGCTGAATTTAGATATTCACCAGCTTCTCGTTTGAATTTTCCTGTTCCATAGTTCAGCAGTTACATACTAGCGCTTCAGGCATCAGAACTCCTGGACTATTTAAGGTGGAACGGGAAATTTGGATAGCTACTGAGACATCAGCTACTATTAACAATTTTTTATGCTTGTTATGAAGAAAAGGACCATGATACACCGAAACAACATTAAACTAAGATAATCCAATGTTTATCATAATTTTTTTAACAGAGAAAATTCTCACATTTGTGTGTTTCTTTGGTCTCTTGTTCAGCCGTCTTGTCGTTTTTTTCTTTTTTTTCTCATAACACTCTGTTCGGAGTCTCTGAAAAACCTCAGTTTGGAGGGCCATGTAGTCTTAACACTTCACCCTCCCCCTCTATCTCAACAAGAATCAGGACACCCCACCCCTAGACGTGAAATGAACCAGCAACGTAATCTATTTGTAAGTCGGTTTGTGACTTACAAATACAAGTGACTGACCTACTTGCAATGTTACTTTAGTTCCAGTTATTGTTAAATGTAATAATTTTGCAGATTGTCATTACATTAATTACTACTGTTAATTTAGTTCACTGGAAGGTGCAGTGTAGATCTTTTATTTAATATCCAATCATTTTCCATGTTACAAAACAGTAAATGTTGACATGTGAGGACCTGGACAATGGAACATCTGTACTTGTACTACATAAAAAAGTTTTTCTCTGTACGTTGTTGTAATATGCAGTTCACTAGATAACTAAATGGTTGGATAGGTAGATAGATAGATAGATAGATAGATAGATAGACAGACAGACAGACTTAAGGCTGGCCAATATGACAATATATGTTATTATTGTGATAAATTAAGTCATTGTTCAATACAGTATGCTTCTCTGAACATATCATGTATTGTGAAAATTACTTAATGTATTGCAATATTATATTTTTGCCATATCATCCACCTCTAGATAGACTCATTATGCATTTAACATTGCGATTTAATATATGCATTATTTGTGATATTACCTATTTCTGCATTTTAATGTATCTGTTAATATGTTAAACCCTTAAATAGCCAGGGCCCAAAGGGTGGCCCAGAGTTTTAATACACACTTCTGTACCCTAAGAATAGCTCGACTAGTTTTAATTGAAGTCCCTGTAGTTACTGAATAGTAAGCCTTAGTATGTAATAAGCCTGGGATTTTAAGGAGTTGATAATATGGTATTTCATAAAATATATCATATTACCATCATGCAACCCTAGTAGCGTTAATAAGTCATAATATATCTCTCCTCTGTCCTAGTTAGCACTTAAAAAACAATCAATATTATTGTGTATCAGCACTTTTCTCTATTATTGTTCACTTCCTCTGCCTCCTGCACTTAGACTCCCTGTTTGCAGCAGTAAAACTCTCATTAACCTCCGTGTTTTTATTTCCTGCAGTTATGACGGCGTGCCCTTCCTCATGCACGACAACACACTGAGGAGGACCACCAACGTGCACGAGGTTTTCCCCAACCGGACCAACACCCCAGCGGCCATGTTCACCTGGGCCGAGCTGGAGATGCTCAGCGCCGGAGCGTGGTTCCTCGCGGTCAGTTCCTAAAACTTTCTACATTAACTGCTACAGCTACGGTACTGAGCAGAAGTCTTAGGACATCCGAGAAAACAGTTTAAAATGCAGGCTCTTTTTGAACTTTTACCAAAGTAAACAAAACAAAACTATGATTAACTGTAGAAAGAGGAAGTGGAGTTTTTAAAGAACCGTAATACGCACATGGGCGGCAGTACGCTTTCATTCATTTCTCACAACGTTAGCTTTTTTAGACAGAACTATTACTTTAAATTAAAGCAGGTGTTTCGATGCTGGAGATGAACAAATACATTGAGAACTGCATTAAGAAGAGCAAGATTCAAACCTGATTTCCAGAATTAATTCACCTTATTTTTATTGTATTATATTCGTTTGTATTTCAAGGCTTTCATTGCAAAGCACATCTAATGCTGCTTTCATGCTTGTTTCATTATCATACAAGTACTATCAGTGTTATATTATGATTAGTACCACCTTTATTTGAGAAATAAAATGTATTTTGTGACCAAGTGCACTATACGTCAGCTGTTTATATCCAGAATTGTTACAGCTGCATATACAGCACAGAGTAAAATTATTCCAATATTATAGTGTTTATAAAAGCAAAAACAGACTTACTGTCGAGATAAATAGTTTTTAACAGTTTTTTGATTGCCTGAGTCCTGTTCAGTGTCTTAAACAGACATCCGTCCATCATTCCTACAGTGTAAGCAATATAATTAAACATAATAATGACTAATATGAAAGATATTATGTAAAAGACTCAATTCACTTCCTCAAACTCAGGCATTTACACAGACATTTATAACTTTATGTATTTTTCAGTATCGTCCTGTTAAATAATGTATTATGTGTTTTATGTAGAGCAAAACAAGACACAAAACACAAAAAGAGATACAAAACAAATGGATGTCTTGATCAAAGGTATTATAAAAAAGACTTGTTTAACTTCCTCAAATTTCAGCGTTTAAGCAAACTTATTATTTTTTTTATGTATTTTTCAGTATCTTCCTGTTAAATAATGCATATTGTGTTTTATGTAGAGCAAAACAAGACACAAAACACAAAAAGAGATACAAAACGAATGGATGTCTTGATCAAAAAACAGGTTTGCATTATGAAAGCTGCTTTTGATCCCTTCATGGTGTTTTAGCTTAATACAACACATATCCAAAATATGCTCCACAGCCTGGCCTCCTAATTAACGTCAGAAATCCTTTGTAAATCCGAGGGAGGAAATCAATAGGGATTAAAAGATTTGGGCTGGAATTTAGGCTCCGCCAGGAGGTGCCAGCCATTCACTCTCATTCACACTGAACACAGGACAGAGAAAGGCCGTCAGTGCGTAACTCATTCACATCATAGAGTCCACTCAGGAAGACGGTCACAAACCACAAACAACTACTTATTAGTATTTATGAAGGGGGAATTTTCAAGGAGAATGTATTAAATTTGTTTATGAAGAAAAATATTACTCTGTAATTTAGAATAGTATAAAAATCAGCACCATAAACAAACTTTACTACCTCTGCTTCGGTGTCAGTTATTAAAACCATGACTAATTAGTCTGATTCTGTGCTAGCTTGAATTTAACCTGTTGAGTAATTTGCCACAGCCTGACGTAAGGCTCCGTTCACATTACAAGCCTCATTGCTCAAATCCGATTTTTTGCCCAAATCTGATCTCTCTGACACGATGGTTCACACTTGTTTAGGTAGTGATTAGTAAGTGATTAAAATCTGTCATTAATGTGAACGAACCAGCGTCCTGAAATGACCCTCATGAGCTCATCCTACTCAGTAACGTCACGTGAATGAATCACGTGCATCATCAGCACAAACTAACGAGCAGAACGAGCTTCGCTGAGAAGATAATTAACTCTGATCAGCTCTCAGCTTCATTATTAGAGCGAGACGAAAGAGAAAAAGGTGAGATGAGCTGCTTTTCCACCGTTTACAGGCTTTAACTTCTGTTCGGCGCTGCTGCCATGGTAACGTTGAATGATGGAGCAGTGGAAAAGAAGCACATGAATTCCACATGGCCATGAATCGGATACGTATCTGATCTAGGACCACGTATGAAAGTGGCTCAGGTTGGATTTGAAAAGATCAGATTTGCGTGTCCACACAGGCCTGAAAACATCAGATCTGTTCACATTAGGGCAAAAAATCGGATTTGTGCCACTTCAGTCTGGTAATGTGAACGTAGCCTAAGATAAAAAATCAAAAATAAAAAAAGTAAAGAATTTCTTGTGATTAATGCCAAAAAAAGTGAAAAGAGATGAACACATTTTGAATTTAAATAGAAAGAAAACTGAAATGTAATAAAAAGTGCATGTCAGAATTACAGTAACATAAAAAGAAAACTAAGAGAATTGATAAATTGTGATGAATGTCCATATCATGCAATGTAAAATGCAATGTTGGATAAAGTTATGGGATTTTGATCATAAGACCCGACTGAATCTACCACAAGTGCAGACGTTTTTTGCTGCATCAATAGAAATCGAACCTCTTCTTTAAGCAACAAAATACAAAATTGCAAGTACATAATTCACTATTGTGCAAAATGGAATGAATAAAATACCGCAGGTACTGTAATGCTAAAAAATCCTGAACAACTTTTTCTTGAAGGCTACAAAAAACTAATTAATGTATGTTTAATTGTGTGTAAGGCTCCTTATGGTGATGCAGGTTTTTTAATTAGCCATTACTGCTTCACATATGTAACACTGGGATTGAGAGCTATCATCAAGTTTGGAGTATTTGTACAGGCTGGTAGTTCAGAATAGAGTAGTTTTTGAACTGTAAACACTTATATGTTTTATAATTGGCTGTTGAGTTACTCCATGCGGGAGCGCATGGTTCAAACCCAGCCCAGGTGAGCACCTGTTGCTTCTAGCCGTAGAAAAATCTGTTTATTTCACTCTAATGTTGCGTATGTGAAGTAATTTGATCTGTCTTGTCATCGCAGCCTTTAACAATGTGTTTATCGCAGAAACTGATTCATCATTACATATCAAAGCTGATAAAGTGGGGATTTAGAAACATACAGCTTCACAAACATAACTAAACACAATGTCAGTGATTAAGTTCAGTCAACAAAGACTGCGTCCCTCATATCACATCCTAATGACATCTGCACCAGCCAGTCTGAGGTGAAGAAACACCACACAAAGGCTCGTTGCTGTCCATCTCCAAAATAGTAACTTTACAGGAGAGGTCAAAAACCTTCTTTACTTTCAGTGTAAGTCAATGGAAAAAAGATTTTATTCTAAGCAATTTTGGAGCATTTCTATTGGTCAAATCATCATAAAATTTTCACACAGTGTAAAGGACGACTGCTGAGCTCAAATGATGCAGAAAAGTAAAAATCGCAAAAAAATGGAGATACATGTTTTTCATTGGACAGTGACGATATGCCACATGAAGTATATTCTTTAGAAAATAGTTTATATTACAAAGATATAAATTTGATCACAGTAGATAATCCATAACAAACCAATCAGGACGCTCTATCCTAATCTCTCCCACTCCATAGAGGGATCCGTTTGGGATGGCCTCGTCTCTGGACCTGGAGGAGCGCGCTCTGGTGGAGAATCAGACGGTTCCTACGCTGAAAGACTTCCTGGACTTAGCTGCTCAGCACGGCAGGCTGGTGATTTTCGACCTCCGTCGGCCACCGCAGGGTCATCCGTACCACGACACGTGGATCACCCGGACTCTGGAGGTCCTCCACAACGAATCCTCCATCAATTCCAGCCAGGTACTGCAGTCTACTGATCTCACTGACTGTGACTGTTTATTTTTGTTTAACCCTGTTGAATCAGTGATCCTTTCTGGGAACTTGGCAATGACCACTTTAGCATGCTTAAATCTGCCACTAGAGGGGTTACAGCACGTGCATGCTTATAGCAAAATGTATTTGTGTAATACCGTGTTTCCTATCACTGTGGTAAAGATGCACAAGGCTTTATTGTTGAATATGCTGTGAGTGAGTCAGATTCAGAGCACAGTGCATTCAACAATAAAGAAAGCCTTGTGCATCTTTAACACAGTGATAGGAAACATAGTAGTACACGAATACCTTTTGCTTTGAGCACGCACGTGCTGTAACCCCTCTAGTGGTAGATTTAAACAAGTTAAAGAGGTCAAATTCCCAGAAAGGATCCATTCTTTATTGTTGAATGCACTATTAGGAGCACAGTTCAGATCGTTAAGTGTGTAGTTTTTTTTTAATTCAAAGTTGAGTAAAGATAAAATTTGTCTGATGTATGAGTTCCTATTCTTACGTGTTCTAAATGTAGTTTGTCAGAGCAAAAAAAAAATCTCTAAATTTATATCTTGTTCTTCAAATACATACAACAAAAGCATGGAGAAATCATGGAGAAGGTCAGATTGAACCACTGAAGTGCAGAAATAGCCATTTTTTATATTTGAACTGTAAAAAAATGGGGTTTTAACTTCAAAGATTGTTATAAATTTAAAGTTTTTTTTATGATTAACAGTTTTTATTGATTTTTATTTTAGATTAATACAAAACAACATATCTTACTGCAACAGCATGACACCCTTTACCCTCCCCCTTCCCACCCCGACTGTGTCGGTACTACATTCATGACCTGACCTAAGGTGCGGTACAAGGCTCTGTATCATAAAAATATATAAATAAATAAACAAACAAACAAACGAAATGTTGCAGCATATAGATGACCATAGATACACATATCTTTAAAAAAAACCCAAAAAAAACAATAACAACAAATGAAGGTCACACCACGGTACTCATCTTTAAGAACACTCTATAAATCTTAAATATTTGCCCCATTTACGCCTCTAAACTTCTAAATGGCCGAACAATTTAAATGATAATTTTTCATATGCAGCTACTTTGCCCATCTCTCTTCCGTCCACTTCCTAAGGATGATTTGCCTACCAGTCATTAAACTGGTTTGAATCCAAATCTTTAAGTACTTGTCCCTGGCTTTAAGCACTAAGGGATCTGCTAAGACAAAAAAGTCTTGGGCAAAAAGGAATTTGACCACCTGAAACTTCACAAATATAATCATAAAGCACCATCTGAAATTCCTGAACTCTAGGGCAGCGCCACATAGCATGAATAAAGTCCCAGTGCGAATTGAAAGTTACTTGAGCTTGAAATGATAAGTTGACAGGGCATAAAACAGATTCTTTCTCTGTTAAACTACTATTTGAAGGTCAACTAAAAAATTAAGGCCCCCCGAATACTAGCTTTTTAAGCTAAAACCCCAAATTCTTTTTACAGTGTTTTTGTATTGGAATGATCATATGCTTGTTGTTGTTGTTGCTGTTGTGTTTCTTGCTTCAGTAAAGCAACCTTGGCTCTGAGAAAGCCAACATATCGCTGCTGTTGGAAGAAAACCTCACATCTCCAATTTTGTTGTTTTTCAGTTTTTGACATAATTTTAAAATGCCTGTTGCCCTTTATAGTGTATGTAAATTTAATGATGAATGAACCAAGAAAAACGACCCAAAAATGCTTGGAAAAATGTCTGGTTCCATCGACTTACTTTAAAAATAAAGTGTGTTTTTTCCTTCTCCTGTAAAGTTACCATTCTGGAGATACGAGGTTTTCTTCCGACAACAGTGATATATAATAAAAAGTGCTTATTATTCCTCTTTATTTCTATTGTGATGCATAGTAAACAAAGTATATTGAAATAGCCTGTGGTGCATATACATTACCACTGAATCTGTTTGTTCTCTAATGTGCTCTGACACTCTGTGGCTTCATCTAAGCAAAGTTGGTTCTAAATGCAGACTGGATTCTGCCTTCTAAAGTAAATGGGATGATAAAAAGACTTGCCTTTATTGCGGTGTATAGGTGCTGTGGCTGCCAGAGGATCAGAGGGACGTGGTGCAGGAGCTTGATCCAGAGTTGCAGCAGACTTCCGGAGACCGAGCCTCCGTCGAGGAGCTGCAGGAGGAGCACATTGTCCTCCTCAACCTGCACTACAGCTCCATGAGCCAGGAGCAGATCAGGTACTGAAACTGAAACAGGAAGACTTGGTTTCTCAACCTTCTGTAGGCCCCCTGATTATCACTAGAAAGCAAGAACACACCAGAAAAGTTTTTTTTTGCTTAAAAGTTTTAAAATATTTTCATCACAGCTATGATTGAGTGCCTACTCCCAATAAGCAGCTTGTATCAGAGAGAATAAAATACCAACAGAATGGTGGCAGATCAAGTGGAAATCTTTACAACTTTTTTTTTTTTGCACCAGTCGCTCGAAGGTGGACACCTGAACAGTCAGGAGGAGTAAATTTTGTTTCAAAAAAATGACAAAGGTGTTGTTGCTCGCCGTTGTTGCAGGGATTGTATTAATATTGTGTACCAAGATTATATATATATGTCTGTGGCCGTGTGGAGGGCAATGCAGTTCATTAACAATCACTGTTCTTTTTAAAGGCCTTTACTGGTAAAACATGTAACAGTTCAGTTTACAGTTTTTGTGGCTTGAAGAAAAGATGAAGCTTCCCAGTTATTTGGTCCAGCTGTATTTTTATTTGTTTTTTTGTTTGGTTTGTTTGTTTGTTTTAAGCTATTGTGGCATCCAAAATTCCAAAAAACAAGATTGATGTGAAGCACCAAAAGCTACTGAAGTGCTAATAGTACCTGTTTAATGCGAGTGAGTGAGTGAGTGAGTGAGTGAGTGAGGTAGATAATTATTTTGTTAGTTAGGTAGGTAGGTAGGTAATTAGTTAGTTAAGTATGTAGGTAGCTAATTAATTAGGTAGGTGGCTATCTAATTTTTTAGTTGGTGGGTAGGTAGCTAATCACTTAGTTAGGTTCATAGCTAGGTAGGTAATTAGTTAAGTTAGTTGAGTATTAGCTAGTAATTATTTAGGTAGGTAGGTAGCTAATTAGGTTCATTAGTTAGTTATGTATGTGGCTAATTAGTTAGTTAGATATGTATTTAAGTTTGGTAGGTTGCTAGTCAGTCAGTCAGTCAGTCAGTCTGTCACTTAGTCCATTGGGTTCTGTCCATCTAAAAAGCAGGTACTGCATATTCAGTGAGAAAACAGAAAGTTTATTAACTGAGCAGTTAATAATCTCAGGATCCAGGTTCATCGAACTGAAAGTCTTTCAGCAGCGGTGAACCAGCCACTGAATGGCTCTTTTAGCTTGATCATTTGCATGATTTTGTACCAAGTATTTTGCATGTGAATACCTGACCTGTGAAATGGATCACCATAATCAAATCAGCTCTGACGTTAAACAAACGTTCTGCTCTTTGTTTCTCCTCCACATCTGCTTAATCCCTCAAACGTCTTTACATTTTCATAAAGCCATCTGATAGGAGAACCTACAGCCGTCTCTGAACGTTTTCCGCTTATGAATCTGTTTGGAGTCAATGTTTTAAATAATACTGAAGCAGTTTTTGTTTCAGCTACATGTGATTCAGATATGATGCTTGTAGTCAGTAGTTTTTTAGCTAACGGTGATTAATAGTAGGTAGATGTGTGTAGAGTGATGAACAGAGCTGGAGATGTTTCTAAAATGAGAAAGCTGTAATAATGCCTCATGTTAAAAAATGTGATAAATAGGTATTTACAGTATATTATTTATTATTTAATCAGTATTTTTTTATTTATAAAGTAACGAGTGATTGCAGACTTTTGAACAGTAGTATTGGTGCACTTATGTAAGTGCTGGGTACAGATGGCATTCATCATACCAATCTGTCAGCAGGAAGAGAGCTACAGAGCAGGAGACTGAAAAAGGAGCTACATGAAAAGAGAAAAGTGGAAGAGCAGCAAAAGTGTGGCTGAAAGTGGCTGCGATTAGTGGCAGAGAATGAGGGAAGGGAAGTAGAGAAAAGAGAGAGGGACATGAACACAGAGTCTCCCCCAGTTCAGTTATGTAATGCCAGCTTTTTTTCAGCAATTGCGCGAACGCTTCTGTGGAAGATGAGAGGTGGAGACCACTGAAACATGGCTGAATGTTCACGCAGTGCACAAATTGCCTCAGAAGTGGAGAACGTTCTCGTTTTTTGGCTGCCAGACCCCAAATCTTTTAGGTCAGTGCAGATCCCAGATAGCAAGTTCCAGAAAGTCCTCAGTTATTGAAAACAGTGAGTCATCATTTTTTTGCCGTGCCTTAGTAAATAGACCAAATTCCAGCAGATTTTCAAACTTTCTGCTTAACTCAGTTGTCGAAATGTTAACAAAGTCATAAAATAGATTTTATGCCATATTATAAGTCTTATCATAAAACAATATCAGGCACAAGACAATGAGACAATGTGTTTGTCTGAGGGAGCTTTTAGAGGTGGACGTCTGGTTCCTATCACCACCACTGTGAACAGTTCTGACTGTAAGTTTCTCTAAAATGAATCATTTCTCACCAAACCACTCTGAATGACTTTGTTTCCACCTTAATAATTTAATTATGCAGAATTCTTTTCAAAATTGGTGGAATTTCCCTTTAACACACTGAATGATAGGGCTGCATAGCCTAAATGAGCTGCATTATTCTGACCAAAATACTTTACTTTCGTTAGATTATATGAATACATTGATTGGAATGTATTATTGCAGTGTCCAGTATTGAGATGTAAATAACTAATGACATACAGCACAGCCCTGCTTAATGATCAATCAATCAATCAATCAACCTTTATTTAATCTCAGAGAACATTGAGGGTGACCCTCATTTACAGTGTTGCCGAGTTGATACAGAACAAGGGATTGATAATGTGTAAGAACATATCAAATAATAAAAGTAAATTTAATTAAAAAAAATTAGTCAAATCAAGTAATTATAAAAAAAACAATAATAAAAATACAATAAAAAATACAAAACCAATTAAAACGTAGCTAAAATGTAAAAGTTAATCAAATCAAAATAAAATAAAAGGAGAATAAGATCAAAAAGTAAACTAAAGATGAATTAAAATGACTAAAATAACAAAAAATAATCATAATTAAAATAAGAATATGAGTAATAATAAAATAATGAAAATAAGATAATAATGGTAAAAACTCATTAGCGAGCTGAGCTTTCCTGTAGTGAGTTCCAGCTCGCTGATGCACCGTAATGATGTTTTTGAAGTGAACCCTTGAAGCAGATGTGGTGCTGGTGACTTGTGATGTCGTTTCCATCCCACTCCCATATCCATTTTTCAGACAGGTGACAAACAAAATATCAGAATAGAGCAAAATGTATCTTAAAGTCAGCAGACTGGTTTGACAGCTTTACGAGGGCGGTTTGTAGATCTGTTTGTGTCAGATTTTAGTGATGTCTGTGTGGACAGTTGGAGAAATGACTCATGCATTTGAGTGTCGAAAGTGTAAACCGAGTCCAGTTTCAGGGCTGTTTCTGTTATAGTGGACACAATTTAACTCTGTGTGACTGATTATAAACAGTGTCTTTCAGCTTCTGGTCTTTTATTGCTCTTTTAGCCATCTGCTGTGTTCCAGATGGAGCTTACTCACTTAGAGACTCAGCATAGTCAGAATCACCCCCCCATCAGACCACACGGCCCACTTCTTTATATTTATTAATTCATTTGTTTATTTATGTATCTGTTTGTCTGACTGCCTGTCTGTTTATCTGTCTGTCTATTTATCTGTCTGTCTTTATGTTCATCTGTCTATCTATCCGAGTGTCCGTTTGTTTATATGTCTGTTGATCTGAGTGTCTGTTTGTTCATCGGTCTATCTGTCTGTCTGTCTATCTGTCATTTTGTTTACCTATCTGTCTGTCAATTTATCTCTCTGAGTGTCTGTTTATGTCTGTCTGTCTGTCTATCTGTCTATCTATTTGTGTCTGTTTGTCTGTTTTTATGTTCATCTGTCTATCTTTACCTGTCTGTTGATCTGAGTGTCTGTTTGTTTATCTATCTATCTATCTATCTATCTATCTATCTATCTATCTATCTATCTATCTATCTATCTATCCATCCATCTGTTTATCTGTCTGTCTTTTTGTTTACCTGTCTGTCTACTTGTTTATCCGTCTGTCTATCTGTGTGTCTGTCTGTCTTTTTTGTTTACCTATCTATCCATTTATCTGTCTTTGTTTGTCTGTCTATCTTGAGTTTCTGTCTGTCTGTCCATCTTGTTGTCTGTCTGATTGTCTGTCTGTCTACCTATCTATCCATCCATCCTTATAAGGGACAGTGCATAATAATTAACCTGAAGGCCAGTGTGTCAGTGTGTCCAGCTCTCTGATTTTCTGAGTCCTGATGTTTCTCTCTGTGTGTCTGTCTCCTCAGTAAATACGCCTCAGTGAACATCAGCACTAACCTGTATGTGGTCAGTCAGCCGTGGCTGTACTCTCTGGCCTGGTGTGCTGGGGCTCAGTCCGTCACCACCAACTCTCTGCACCTGCTCAAGAACCTGCACAAACCCATCTTCCTCATGGTGAGTCGGTCTGCGCTGACACTGACGTATAGCCTGTCTGGGTTAGGTGTTTCAATCAGACTCGAGCTGCCCTTCTGATTATTTGCTCAATCGCTTCTACTCTCTCTCTCTCTCTCTCTCTCTCCTCTCTCTCTCTTTCTCTCTCTCTCCCACTCTCTCTCTCTCTCTCTCTCTCCAGACTCCACATGAGTACAGTATGATGTGGATCCTAACAGATATCATCTCTGCAGTCCTCATCACGGCTGTGTTTATATTCCACTGGTGAGTTGAGTTTGAATTTGCACTCCTTTCACACATGATGCCAGTTTTTATTGTCCGGTACAGATACCAGTACAGAAAACTTGAGTATCGGCTGACAGCTGTACTGATCCAATATTTTTTCTTTAAAAGCTTCTCATCTTTTAAAGGAGCTGTTTTTAATTTTAGCTCTTCAGTTAAGATGGTTATTAAAATCTTCATGATTATGTAACAAAAATGAAAAAGTTTCCAGACTAAAAAAGTTTAAATTAAGTTTAAAATGCCCTACTAGATGCTTGTATTACTCATGCGAACATTAGGCTCTGTGTCTACTGTTCTCATTTGATAGTGTGGCCTGCTTTACGTCACTTTACAGTTTGTGGCGCTGTGAGCAGATCTGTGCTATTTCAGGGTAGATTTGTTACACAAACAGATTGAATTTATTACTTTGTCTTTGTTCACACCGATCCGGGACATTCTGCTCATATCAGCCTGATATCTGTGCCATCTGTACCCTGCACCAAGAGTTGCACTCTAAGCCTAGATTAAAGCCATTGCACAACATGCAACAGCTCAAATTCAGTCACTGGGTTAGTGTGTCAGACCTGTGTTATATTTTGGAGGTACTATATATAGAACATTCTAGCTCATTTAAACTGGCTCAATTGGCTTATCAGTTATGTAACTGTATTATTGAGTTAAATTATTGAATTACTAAACAAAAGCAAACGCTGTTTTCTAATTATTGCAAAGCCATCCGTCAAAGGTAGAATTAGGACTGGGCATTTCTCTGATATTGGACATTCAAATTTGTAAAACATTAGCATCCACCCACAACAAAATTCCTATAGGATATAAGGTTACAGGCTACGGCACACCTAGTCCAAACTTATTTCACCTTGTAACATTTAGGTGGAAAACTGTTTGTGAGTTTGTAGAAAGTTAGTTATCTTATACCAAGTGAGATAAATTCACTGAATTAACTTAATCCATTAAAATCCCAGGCTTATTGCATACTTTTTAGTTACTACAGGAACTTCAGTGCAACTGTGTGTAATAAAACTGGACATTTAAATATATAAGGTGTGAAATGAGCTTGTTTATTGGTGCTTTTCTGGAATGTGCTCTATGTGCTATAGCAGCACTCTGTACCATCCATTGTGCAGCACAATGCGTCTTGCCTAGTGTGCAGTAGCCTTTACATGGCTGCAGTAGTCTCTTCTATGTGGTTTCCTTCTTTGACCTAAACAGATTGACAAAATCTCTGACCGAAATGTAAGACACAGACACTGAACTGCCAACTGGTGGAGTGTAGATTTCCGACATCTCAAGGGTCTTAAATATGAAACTGTCTAACATTGGAGAATGGTGAATTGTTTTTTGTTTGTAATTGTTTATTACATAGGTGCAGCTAAAGATGCACATCCATTCACACTTCCACGTTATCATACAGTTCAGTAAAAATAAAGGATAAATAAAACACAAAACTGCAAACCTGTGACAAGAAGGCATCACGTATAGGAAAACCGCATTTTCTTGTTTTTGTAACAGAAGGATTTCATACTATGTGAAAATTCGATGTACCATTTGCTCCTCCATATATCTAAACTAAGCTGAAAAAACAGCCTGTTTTGGATTCATCATGGTTGTGACATCAAACACATTGACTGTGTTTACACGCAAAGATTTTTGCCAATCTGATTAAATACATTCTGATTATAGGTTAAGACTGAGGCGCTTATATGCCCACTCGATTCAACAATCTGATAGAAAATCTCTGTTTACATGCTCACTACAAGTAATCTGATCCAAAATTACGTGCTTGCATAGAGAACCACTTAGTGTAGATGTTACCATGACAACGAGCATCACGTGAGTCCAGTCAGAGTGAGATGAGCAGCAGTGAGCAGCGTTTGTGTTTTTAATTCCTTTAAAATGATGTCAGACTCAAGAAAACGTCCTTCACATGTCCTTATTAAAGAAGGCCGAGAGGAAGACGTCGTGTTCTGAGACACATAAGCTGGACGTCCGTCCCACCGCCGTCTTTTAAAGATCAGAGCATAAACTTCGTCTCCTCTGTAGACCAGTTTCTGCTCCGCCATGTTGAACGGTATAAACTTTCACTATGACGTGACGAACATGATCAGAACGGACTTAAACTTTCCGATAGGGAATGTAATCAGATACAGGCGTTTACACTGATATTATTCTTCTATTTAACAGATTATTTACAGGATTACCCACCTCGTTCAGTCGGATGGATATTGTATTCCCAATGGCCTCAATCGGACTAGTCTTTTCCGATTGAGGTGTATACATTGATGTATACATACATCAATCTACTCCGATTGAGCTATCAGTCGGATTATTAACAGATCGTCTCTAGTTAGAATGGCCTCGCTTTGTGTTTTGAATTTGTGTGTTGGGCATCATATTTGACATCCTTTAGAATTACAGACCTGTCCTTATCACTGCTGGACTCACCTTTTCCCCTTTCTCCTTCAGGTGGCGTGAGAGAGGCTTACCTTTCTGGTCTGGCAGTAGGCAGGTGCATGAGAACGGACCCTACAGCAAGTTCAGGACTGGTGAGAAATGTCTCTGTTTGTAAATGTATTCAAGCCTCAGACAACATCGCTTCATCCTGCACGTCTCATCTGTGTGTATGAAGCATCTCAGACGTTCTTGGTCTGTTCTCGTACATCATCCTCATCTTCAGTATCGCTATAAATGCACCAAGGTTGATGTTCACAGTTTGTTTTGATCTGATATTTTCCAAAAAAAAGAAAAAAGAAAAAGAAACAATCAAATCCAATAAAGTCTATGTTGTTAATGCTTTCAGTGCACAGTATAATAGTCTTTTTGTGTTCTTGGGGGAATTTCAATGAGTGTTGAGTGTTCGTGTGCTGATGTAGCAGGGTCGAGGTCAAGTAGCTAATGGAAGCGGTAATTGAATGAAAGGATTTTTTTTCATTTTTTTCCCTCAGTCCTTCAGAAGCAGAGGGGTAGCATGTAGGAGTTTCGAGTGCTGTGACTGTATCCTCCATGAGTAGTTGTACTAATGGCCCAATGCCCTGACATCATTATCAAATACGTCATGATATACATCATCATTCTCAGCCCTGCAGTAACACTGATGTGGTGGTGGTGTGTTAGTGTGTGTTGTGCTGGTACAAGTGGATCAGACACAGCAGTGTTGCTGGAGTTTTTAAACATTGTGTCCACTCACTGTCCACTCTATTAGACACTCCTACCTTGTCAGTCCACCTTGTAGATGTAAAGTCGGAGACGATAGCTCATCTGCTGCTGCACAGTTTGTGTTGGTCATCCTCAAGTCCTTCATCAGTGGTCACAGGACGCTGTTGGCTGGATATTTTTGGTTGGTGGACTATTCTCAGTCCAGCAGTGACACTGAGGTGTTTCAAAACTCCAGCAGCACTGCTGTGTCTGATCCACTCAGACCAGCGCAACACACACTAACACACCACCACCACGTCAGTGTCACTGCAGTGCTGAGAATGATCCACCACCCAAATAGTACCTGCTCTGTGAGGGTCCATGGGGGTCCTGACCACTGAAGAACAGGGTAAAATGGGGCTAACAAAGTATCAGAGAAACAGATGGACTACAGTCTGTAACTGTAGAACTACAAAGTGCACCTATATAGTAAGTGGAGCTGATAAAATGGACAATGAGCGTAGAAACAAGGAGGTGGTCAGAATGTTATGCCTGCTAAAGATGCACTTCCATTCACTTTCAAGCCTGTCCACATCTATTGTAATATAATCCAAAATACAAAGTAAAACTGCAAAATTGCAAACCGATGACGAGACCTTAAAGAGCTCATATAGCTCAAACTACAATTTTCCTTTTTCTTTTTGTAACATAAGTAAATAATTAATGTAAAGTTTATACAGAACCAGAAACTTAATTTTGGACAACTGATCATCTTGTCACTTTATATTATCTGTGATCGAATGATAGCTGTTATTCTCACAGTGAGGTAATTGACGACATCATAAAAAATATCAGGTTTTATTTGGCATTTTGATTGATGACGGGCAGGTTTGGGTCAGTTACAGACAGATTTTTTTTGGGCTCAAAACCTAACAATGTGGATGTTCAATCAGAAAGTTCTCAGGCTGTATTTAGGCTCAGACTAAAATTTCAGGCCCCATTAAAGGTCTGGACTTTGCAGTTCCATGTTTCAGTCTGGACTGCTTTTCTTTTAGAACAGTAGAGGCAATAAGGCTGGCTTTACATGGCGAAACCTTCATGCAACTAGTTGAGTTGCATGCTGTGAGTTGCCTGCAACCTAACTTCTGTGCAAGCTGACAGTTACACAAAGCAATTTAGAAACAATCACACGCAACACATTCAATTATTCCACTAGTTGCCAAAGTAGAAACTCATATTTAACGATACGTGCTTTGTTTTCTGTATATATGTCTTTTATTTCTCTATGGTTATTTACTACATATTATTTTTACTATATATCAATAGCCAGTATGGTTGTACCTGATTTTACGCCATCCTGTCCTAGAAGCACCATCAGCTGGCTTGTTTATAAACACTGCCAACTTTACATAAAGTCAGGAGGATATTCTTTTCAACTGCCCAATAAACCACTTTATTTTCTTGTCCACTGAACCACAAAGATCAAGCATTGGAAATTACGTTGTTTGATATGATCATGATGCATTGTAGGTGTTTTGACTGTTTCATGAAACTTATTTCATGAAGTTAAGACACTTGCAGCAGTTGCAGCTAAGTTTCATGTGAATTGCAGGATGGTTGACACTATGCAATTTACGTGCAATTTAGCTTCATGTAGGTTTTAAGCAACTAAAGTTGCATAAAGTTTAATTGTGTAAAGCTGGCCTAACAAAAACAGCAGGTTTCATTCTAAGGAATAAAGAAAGAATGAAAAATGGTCACGTAAGATTGAATTGTTTATAAAAATACACGTTAGAAATGAACTTCAGAGAAAACACTGTGTTTAAAACCTTGGTGCATTGTGCATCTGCTGTCCCGTCCCTGCATGCAGAAAGCTTTCCTCTGAAACCCGTCGCTTTCTGTGTCACAGATACCTCAGAAGTCCGGGGTGTTCGCTGGAACCCCCTCTTCTCTGACGACACTGTGTGGACCGTAGTCTCTCTGCCTCAGGACACTGCCCACCTCCCGCATGACATCCCTGTGCATGGCTACCCTGTGCTGGTGTGACCCCTCCTCCTTTCCCTTCACCTTGTTCAGCACTGAGATTCGACTAGTCAATCTAACGGGCTGAAAAGTGTTCTACCTGTGTTGTTATCAGATATAAGCACATTTTTTCATTATATCTGTGTCATTCTGTTGACCACTGGTTGCTATGGACGAAAAATGTCCGCTGCTGATAACTATCAACACTTGAACAAATACAAAGCTAGAAAAACAGATGTATTACAAAAGATATTTGGTTGAATAGTCATATATTAGTAGTAAACCTGCTGGTGCTTTTCAGCCCCCTTGTTGCAACAGGCGATTTGTGGTGGAACTACTTTTTAGCGGAAATAATTTCCAGTCCTAAAGGAACGGTTTAGTGAAAAATCATATTTACTCAATCTTCCACTTTCCCTACATATAGTGGATTGACCAAGACGTTCAGTCTCCAGATTCTGCTTCTTTAGTTCAGCGCTGGAGCTATGCGGCTAATGTAGCTAACAAACACTAGAAGCCAATAGTCACCCAAATCTTTTCTGTAAATACATCCCCAAAACAAACCTCATCCAGGTCTCCGTTAAGAAAATGGCCATGTCGGCGTATGGACGATACAGAGTACATTTGCTATTCCTGTTGTTTATTTTTATAGATAACTGTACGTCTTTCATTTTTGAACTGAAGATATATGTTCTAGCTTAATCAAGCATCTATATGCCGGCGTGACATGCAGGCACCCAAAGAGGAGCCAGATTCTGCAGGGAGGACAGATTTGTTGTCTACAATAGTTTCCCGCTGTGTTCAGTGAAATTAAGTTGATTTTTTTATGTGAGTGATATCACAGTCAGACATAGAAGCCATAAAATGTAAAGCCTTAGGTTCACTACACGACTTTTACAGTCTTAACAGATTATAAAAAGACTGGACATCTCACACTATCCGACTGAGAACTCACTGAACTCTCGCGAACTCTTGCTTTCTCCTGTTACTAGGAGACCCAAATGAACAAACGTGGAGCTGCTGCTGCTGTTTTCTCTGCTGTTTGCACTGAAACAGTAAAGAAGCAGCAGGTAAACGTTTTTAAATGAGGCTCATGGATTTAAGAATGTAATCACTGTGGTATTTTTTAGAGCTTTAAATGTACATAAACTAGATTGTGTCTTAAAATCAGCTCATTAAAAAGCTTCGCTCCACATATGAGTGACTTTTTGCCATTTTTTCTTTGTTTACTTGCTGTATTTTCTTCTTTATCGCTCTCAGTTTTCATTGGCTGTTGCAGGAATCCATTCAGATTGAGTCATTGACCAGTTCACACTAGATTTCGCTCAGAGTCGGGTCAAAAAAATCAGACATGTCTGATAAACTCCGACTGGTCTGAAACGCGATCGGGAGGCCGAAAATCTGAGTCTGCGCCCCTCAAACACGACTCGATTCTCTCTCCAACTGTCGACTCAGACTGACCCAAAAATCTGCAGACTAGAGCCGACCAGCACAGACTCGGCCAGGCTGAGAATCGGGGCTGATATCGGGGTGAATGTCGTGTAGTGTAACCCCGGCTTATGTTATACTGCGCTCTAAACCACACTGACAAATCTGTGTGACCTTAAAGAAGAACTGTGTACTGTTTGAGAGACATTTTAAGGAAAAAGATTTGACTTCTAGTGTTTCTTAGCTACGTTAGCTTTGTAACTCCAGCACTAAACTAAAGAAGCAAGATTTGAACATCAAACATAACTTCACTGACTGACAACTTTTGGGTTAAGTAGAAAATTGTGCAAATATGCACCAAATCGTTCCTTTAAAACATGTATTAGCGATGGAACTCAAATGTGAATAACTAAATGAAGTAACTAACTCCACTGTGATTCTTTTCCTCTCCTTCCTTGACCTTCTCAGCAGAACTGAGCGATGTTTGGTCCATCTCCAGCCTCAGCGTCCGGGGGGAGGGGCGGAGTCAGCCAACTTCACCCAATTTACCCACCATCTCCGAGGAGCCGCCAGTCTGAGCCCGGCCAGGCGGGGGCGCCAGAGAGGCCAGCGGTAACAGCAAAGACTTTCTGCTGCTTAAACGCTGCCCACTCAAAGCCATTCATCCATCCACTTAGGCTACACATTCGCTTCTGCGTTCCAGACTGACGTGAGGGACACATAGTTTACACATTCGGACCACTGCTTCACATGCAAGTAACCACATACGGAGCAACCAGCATCTTTTAACTGAAAACCAAGGAAAGCAGCATGTGTGGAACACTTCTTTAAGGGAGTTTTTATGGTGTTAATGGCACGAGAAACTCCTTGGAGTCCTCTGCTGCTGATGAGGTGACACCCAGGAATGGGATATATGGATATAATTCATACTGGAGGAAGAAAAATCTCTCTCAGAGCTCATTCATCAGCGGATTCATCGGAGTGAGAAACTGAGGAAAGCTTACTGTTCTCTGTGTCTGAATATGTGGATAGACTTATACGTGTATAGATAAAGATTTTGCTACAATAGGATTTTAATGGTAATGAATTATCATTGAATGTAGCTTATCGACAAGCAACCACATTTAGCATGAGAGCAAAAAAAAAACCCTCTTCATTCAGCTTTTTTTGCTTGTATGGAGTTGTCAAAGTCGCCATGTGAGAAAATTACAACCAAATACGCAATTACTCAACTTTTAAATGTGTAATCTTAGTAGCTGCACTGCAAAGAAATCTTGGCGTGTGAAAACATCTTAGATTTAGTTAATATATGGCTGTATGCAAAATTAAAAACACATCTTTTACAGATTTTCTTCATCAGTAATATATATATATATATATAGTTTAAAACAAAGAAATAAAACGTGCCTTGACTTTTGCACAGGCCAAATTTAATGTTTTATTTTTTCCCAAACATATTAAATTCAGCAAATAAACAGTAAATTGTATTAAAATGTGCAGAAGTGTCTCTGTAGAGGATGTTCACTTATTTACACTTAGAAAATCAACAAAACATGGAAATTGACCAGGGGCACCTAAACTACCAACTGTACCTAATATTACTCATTTGGAGGTTGTTGTAAGCATATTAATAAACTTATTTCTAGTATTTCTTTATTTGTTTAAAAGAGAAATTGTCTTATTATGTTGGTAGATAATTTTGCTTGATTCAAAACACAATGGAGATAATTTTGTTTTAAACAAATAAAACAAAACAAAAAAGACTATTTCAGTACATTAAAATGACTGGAAATAAATGTCTAGAATTGAGTCGAATAATCTTAGAGAAGTCTTACAACAATCTCAGAATGAAAAACATTAAAAATATTGACTAGATTGAAGAAGATTTCACTTGCCAAGATATCATATTTTGCCGTGAGACAGCGTGTCGGTCCCTGTTTACAGCTGGTCATTTCATACATTGTGAGTATCAGGATTATTTAAAATGCAGATTTAGCCCATTCATGTCAGATCATGCCAGATTTAGCCCATTCATGTCCACCTACATTTAGTACGAGGAGGAAAAATGCCACAGAATGTATTTGGATTGCACTGAAGTGCTGAAATGTTGCAGTTGAACAATCTTGGATGACCATCTTAAGGCCATCACACACCGGACATGTGCACCATCTACCGGATACACTACAAAGAGTTGCTATATTGCAGTGTGTCGCAGTGAGAACTGCTGAGTTCATTTTTACACGCTTCTCCTAAATCCAATGACACGAAATTTTTAACATAATTTATCATGTTTGGCATCAGTTTACAAAATTCACGAACTCGCTGTTTTCCAAGCTAAAAGTTATGAAGACTAGAATCGCACCGTTTTTCTGTCTGTTGATCTAAAAGACTGGCTGCCTTTCTCTGTAAATTTGAAGCCATGTGATCTACCGTGGCTTTCTGTGGACTCAATGTGGCTTTAATCAGACTCAGTAAAGGCAAAATGTCGAGTGGCGCTGTGACACGCTGAGAAACTGAACAGTGCTGGGAGTTACTGAGCGCCAGCGCGGATCAACACAGAACGTTGGCCCTGGTATGAGTAGCACTCTACAAAAAAAAAGTTTGAATTTTAGGATGCTGTGTGATGCACCTTACCAGTGTGCATTTGAATGTTTTAATCACATCATACTTTTATCTCTTTTACATACTAAAAAAAGCAATTCCGCATGTCAGCAAGACTAGATTAAATAAAGAATATGATGAGTGATTTAAAACTCTCTTTTTAGTCGTATAGTTTAGTTGTAGAGATTTTCTTTAGCTTTGCGCTCATGCAAGCTCAGAAAATATGAAAATGCAGCATGGACATTAATGGGTTAAATCCAACCACTTAAACCTTTTCACATGTATTTTAGCTGGACGTTGTACGTCTTTCTACATTTGATGACCCAAATCCCTCCCGATACATTCCATCATAACACGATCCATGACTGTGATGATTAAACTGGAGTGATAAAGGATGGGCGTGGTTTGGTTTGTGTGCGCAGAAAACAATGAATGACAGAACACACACGTGAGATTTTGCATAGAAATAGAACAGAAGAAAGAAGGACCAACACAGGCGACTGAGCATCAGTGTTTGAGCTGATCTGCACCATTTAAAGCAATCGATTTTAGTCCAACTAACCAGAGACTGCCTAGTGTGAGCGCATGCGGTTATAATCTCATTAGGAACCAGTCTGAATACAAGTCACATGAACTGGCCAGGTGTAAACAGGGGTCAAAAGAATGAGAGCGATAGTTTTATGTCATAATCTTAGTCTGTTTATCCGTCACCACTAAGACTAATGCGAGAGGAATAAGACAATCTGTGTTCTAACGTGATTAAAATTGGTTCGCAAAATATGCAATTACATGACGTGGCTGAAGCTCCAAAACGAAGACTGAAATTTGGTCAAAGCTGAATAAAATTGAAGATACAGGTGTGAGCCAAGAGACTGCACGGTAAAACATGAGAGGTCTGCTCAACTTAAAATGATGTAGTAACTGATTACATGGCTTTTCTTGAGTTGACCCAACTTGAGGACACCAGAGTTGACACAACTCAGACTTCTTAGTTGAGTCAAAAATCCTCCCAGCTACTGTTTCTACATCTGCATCTCAGTTAGATAAACAAAACTGAATTTGTGTTTTTTTTACTCAGTTTCTCCACTAGCTGGCGCTCCTTCACTTGCACAGTCTCATCTGGCATATTTTCCTCTTGGGCTTCCAAATATGGACAGCTGTGGTATTGCTGGGATTGAAACTCACAACCTCCTGATGTTGGGATGAATTTTTACACAGCTGCACCACATGAGATGACGCCATGCTTTACCGTTAAAACAAATATTTTCTAGTGCATTAAACATTTGTAGACACAAAATCTGAGCTGAGTTCACACAACTCAAACTTCTTAGTTGAGTCAAAAGTTAGGTAAATAAAATGAACCTGTTTTTATATTCATCTTCCCCACCAGCCAGGACTCTCTCCATCACACTATCCTGCTAGACATTTTTCCTCTTGGGCTCCACTTACAGATGACTATGGCATCGCTGGGGCTTAAACTCACAACCTCCTGCTGGGGAGGCAGCTTAGTCCACTGCATCACTCAGGCTTTCTATGCTATGCTTTACCATTAAAACAACAAATATTTTCTAGCGTATTAAACATTTGTAGACACAAAATCTGACCTGCTTCATGGGTTCCTGAGTGGTGCAGTGGACTAAGCTGTCATCCCAACAGGAGGTTGTGAGTTTGAGCCCCAGCAATGCCATAGCCATCCATAAGTGGGTACCCAAGAGGAAAAATGTCTAGCAGGAGTTTGAGTTGTGTCTTTAAGTTGAATCAATGCACGAAAAGCCATGTAATCAGTTACTATATCAATTTGAGCTGAGCTGACCTCTCATGTTTAACAGTGTGCACATATATCGTCGCTGCAGGACAAAACCTTTTTTCGTCTGTCTTTTACTGCTTTATTTACATAACCTACCTGCCCTGCGCATTGTGTGGATGTTTCATGATGAGTGGACCTATAAAAATGGCCTGAAGTTACTTTCAGAATCACTATTCAGAATGTTTGCCCTTCCTTGGCGATACAAGGTTTTGTTCTGACAGCCACAATATAGAAACCAAGCTGCACAAACAGCTGAGTTCATGTTTGTGATGTCACAACCAGTGGCTGAAGTTTATTTTTTTCTCAAACAAAACAAAAAGGAAAATAAAGACATAGATAAAGAGTAAATGTATTGTTTTATAATGTGGCTCCAGGCCAATATTAGTGCTCGAGACACTGCAGCACTTTTAGACATTGCACCTGACGCACTTTCATACGTGAGCTGCTACAGTAAACATACAGCCGCTCGTTCAGTGAGGAATGCTATGTGTTTTTAGTCTACACTCCACATATCAGGTTCCCAGTAAAGAGACGAATAAAGCCGTGCCAGCTACATGAAATGTGACAGCTAGTATGATTTATATTTATTACATTCTGTCTTAATGCATTTATTTTCCTGTAACTGTTGTATGGCTGTAAATATCATCATAATGGAATTAAAAAAAGGTATTCTGATTAAGAAACGGCATTTCAGATTCTTCCTGTGTTTTTTTAATCCACCAGTCACTCACCATTGAACAAAATGGAAATATTTTCAATATAAACAAAGCCGCGGAATGGCTGCTCTTTCCAAGAAATGAATGACCACGCCTTAAAAATAAGCCCTGAGTGTACTGTTTCACTGCTTTACAATGTCAGACTACATACAGAAACATGTCATATAAACCGTTTCGACTGTTTAGGAGGGTCTCACTTTACCCAGGAGGGGTCTAAATCTATATAAGAATTCACTTTGAGGCTTTATTTCATCTGCATAATCATCATTCTGAGCACTGCAGTAACACTGACGTGGTGGTGGTGTGTTAGTGTGTGTTGCGCTGGTCTGAGTGGATCAGACACAGCAGTGCTGCTGGAGTTTTTAAATACCTCAGTGTCACTGCTGGACTGAGAATAGTCCACCAACCAAAAATATCCAGTCAACAGCGTCCTGTGGGCAGCGTCCTGTGACCACTGATGAAGGACTACAGGATGACCAACCCAAACTGTGCAGCAGCAGGGTGAGCTGTCGTCTCTGACTTTACATCTACAAGGAGGACTGACAAGGTAGGAGTGTCTAATAGAGTGGACAGTGAGTGGACACAGTGTTTAAAAACTCCAGCAGCACTGCTGTGTCTGATCCACTCAGACCAGCACAACACACACTAGCACACCACCACCACGTCAGTGTTACTGCAGTGCTGAGAATGATCCACCACCCAAATAGTACCTGCTCTGTGAGGATATATATATATATATATATATATATGTCAGAATCTCACTGAAAACTGCTTAAGTGGGTTTTAAGAAGAAATTTCTTCTTAAGAACAGTTGGTGAACGAGGCCCAATAAAACAATAGCTTGTTTTTTAAGCACCATTTTGAGGTTCTGTATATGTGATTTGAGACAACTGAATATGAAGATATTTGAATATGAAGATATTTGGATAACTGGAAGGGTAAACTCCAAGATTTCTGAAGCAAACAAAATAGCTCACTGTGAGCATCCATTTTTTGGCAGCCTTAAACAGCTGAGGTTGCGTAAACGCTCTGAAGTTAGGAGCGCAAAGTTCTGAGGTTGATTTCCCCGTCTTTATGAATGTAGAACAAGGGTATTCATCTCATAATGGGAGTGAACTGTACCGTGATTTAGGCTGTAGAGCACTGCACAAAAGTCAGAGACCACCTTTCATTTATTTAACTGCCAGTCAAAATGGCCATTAAGTACAAGATCTTCATTTTTCAGGAGATATTTCCGAGATCTGGTAAAAGATTGCATAAGGAAGAAGACAAAGAAAAGTAAGTGAAAAACAGGAGTTATCAAAACTGGAGTTCAAAAAACAAATAAACGCTACAGAGAAAAAGCAACCCCTAACAACCACCTGGAAGACCTGGTAGACCCCAAAACTGCCCCCATCAGATAAACAGCACTTAAAGCTTTCATCTCTGAGAGAGAGGAGAAAATCAAGCTGCTTCAGATCTGAAAACATCTACAGGTGTTTCTGTCCATCCTTCCACTGTGAGAAGACGACTCAGCGCTGTGGGTCTGAAAGGATGTGTAGCTGTCAAGAAGAACCTCACTGAGAAAAGGAGACGGACACATCAAACAAAGAAGCGAAACAATGGACTGACCACCCCAGAGTCCAGACCTCAACATCACTCAATGTGTTTGATTACCTCAGAAAATGATCAACCAGCTTCTAAGACTGAATTTTGGAGGTGTGTCTGCAGATTCTTTGAGAAACTGAAAGTGGGTCTCCTGAAAAGAATGGAAGCTGTAATAAAAAATCAGTAAATAAATCTGTTTTTTTTTCTCAGATGTTGAAAAATATTTGTACTTACATGCAATTTTGACTAGAAATTAAATAAATGAAGCCCAGTACTGTAGTTTGGCCTGATACACTTGAAGCAACTTGACAACCCGAATATTCTGACCCTCATCATTTGAGTCATCTCAGGTCAAGTAAACATATATGAAATGATAAAATGACCTTTAAACCTTTACTTTAGCAACATATCTACACAACGTGGAGGAGGACCAGGGTAAGAACACAAAGAACACTCTAAAGACAATACCAGAACCAAAATAAACACCAGATACGTAGATCCTAGAACGGTTAAAGGTCGAGCTTTGAAAGTGTTAATAAGCCACATGAAAAATAAAGTTCACAAACTAGGTTAGACTTTCCACATTCCAGCCCCTCGTTACACAGACACGATCATGAAATAAGGCCATGAGTTTCATAACTCCCTTTCTCACTGTTCGCCAGCCTAACAATCCTTCAGCTTACACAATGAGGACTGTAGAAGCGCTGACTCTTCTGAGAACCATTTCTTTGACCCAACATTAAAAACAAATAGAAGCCTAAAAGATTCTAGATTAATCCATTAACCCTTACAAATCTACTTCACAGTGTTCACACCTATAAAAACATACAGTACTTACACACACAATTCAAAAATGAACAAATTAAGGCTTCCAACAGAAAGCTAAGATATAAAAATGCTACAGTCAGTTTACAATTCACATAATACAACATAAGCTCTTACAAAACCTTCCATCAGACCTCTTATCCCTGGGCTCTACATTTCCACAGCTATAGTTGAGAAAATAACATGCCTATTTTGGTTGGAACATCCAAACCACCCTGATTTTTCATAAGATGGGCTGCATCATAAATTAAAGGGGTGCTCTGGCCAAATTGACAAATATAACCATCGCTACACCGGTTTAAAACATGCCTATTCACAATTTACGGCAGTGTCACAGGAGATTTTCTGGTTTAAAAACTAAGAAAATCCCCTTCCGATGATGTACCTTGAAGGTGGGAGGAGCTTTTGAAAAACCACAACAGCTTTGGGGTGTTTTTTTGGGCTTTTTGAAACGTTTTTGTTCTTTATTTATTAGACTAAGTGGCTATGCTAGCTGTTAGGACTGCTGTGGGGGTCCTAATGGTTGGGTAATATATTTGCCTAATGCATGCTGGGTATTGTAGTGAGACAACACTGATGGACAAAAGAGGACACAAAATTATGAACTGTGTCAAACCGAAGAGGCTGTACTGCAGAATATTACATAACAGGACAAAAATGACAAATATTAACACGGTAAAATGACGGTTTTAGGCCAAAATGCCCCTTTAAATATTACACAACTTCAGCCCAAAGTAAAAACTGCCCAGGAACAGTTGGGCACTTGCTTTATGAGGAAACCCTTAAACGAAACACTGCTGTGCTTAATTATATGTTCATGATTCATGATAGTATTTATAATAGTCGTAAAAATGACATTGTACCCAAATTAACTGGTAAAAGCTTTCTTGCATAATTCAAAACATAAAGACACTGCAGCTCATTTATAACCTGCGTTCAGCTGCACTCTGTCCATAACTCTCACATGCACTATCAGCAGAGCAACCGTCCCACGAAGCCACTTAAACATCAATGTTTGTGTCACAGAATCAGGTATAGTGTACAGAATTACACTGAAAACGTTTCCTTATCTGTCTATACCTCACAGTGTTTGTTGTCTCTTATTCACTCATTTTATTTCTTTTGGTTGTATATTTTTCTTGCCTGTTTAATTTTCTGTTCTTCTCTCTTGTTTTCCTTGTTATTAATGTGCATCATTGCTGGGCTTTGCTCTTCATTGTTGATGATTTGTAGAGCGACCTTGAGCTTCGTAAAGGCGCTATATAAATAAAATGTATTATTATCATTATATTTATTATCAGAGGCGGGAGGCTAGCAGCTTTATGGCCGGTAGCTCAGTCTCCAGCCCCAGGTCCAGTCAGAGGTAGGTGTCCTCAGTGGAGGGAGAAGAAATGGCATCATCATCGTCATCTAGGTCGGGGTATCCGGAGCCCAGGGAGCTAGCGGAGGGGCTGCGGCTCATCCTCCACAGCTGCCACGCGAAGGTCCGGCTCCAGCTGCACGGCTGGCCCATGGGCCGCAGCAGACGCACCAGCTCCGCCGCCTCCCGCCAGTAAGACGTTCACTTGCTGTGGCCCCGCGAGCTCCGCTGCTTACTCATGGTGGTCAGCATCTGGCTGATGTAGGACGTCAGCAGGTCGTCCATTTTGTAGCCCTGTTAAGGACAAATGGGGAAAACAGATCCTTCACTCTGACCGTTTAGCTCACTATCATTCTCCACCTAACACCATCATTCTCCAACAATCATTCACCAACATACACCAATGCTCTCCAGATAAATACTGTCATAGTTGCAAAAACACTTTTTCTCCAACAGACACCATCATTCTTCACTCTCTACTACACATCATTATTCTCCAGCAAAGACCATCATTCAACATCAAACACCATCATTCTCCATCAATCATTACCCATCAAACACCCCCATTCTCTGTCAATCATTCTCCAAACACCTTCATACTCTATCAAACACCACTATTTCCATCAATCACTCCCCATCAAACACCATCATTCTCCATTAATCATTCCCTATCAAACACCATCATTCTCCATCAAACACCTTCATACTCTATCAAACATCACCATTTTCCATCAATCACTCCCCATCAAACACCATCATTCTCCAACAAACACCATCATTCTCCATCAATCATTCCCTATCAAACACCATCATTCTCCATCAAACACCTTCATACTCTATCAAACATCACCATTTTCCATCAATCACTCCCCATCAAACACCATCATTCTCCAACAAACACCATCATTTTCCATCAATCATTCCCTATCAAACACCAGCATTCTCCATCAAACAAAACACCACAATTCTCCAACAAACACCATCATTCTCCATCAATCATTCCCCATCAAACACTATCATTCTCCATCAAACAAAATACCACCGTTCTCCAACAAACAGCATCATTATCCAACAAACACCTTCATTTTCCATCAAACAAAACATTATAATTCTCTAACAAACACCATCATTTTCCATCAAACACCTTGATTCTATATTGAACACCAACATACAAACACCATTGTTCTCCAAGAAACGCCATCATTTTCCAACAAACTCCAACAATTTCCAACAAACCGTCATTTTAAATGTGGCTGGTGGCTTTAGTACTCATCCCAAGCCAAATAAACCAATGTGAGTGCAGAAAGAACATTCTAGAACATGGATACCCAAAGACCCTGCGTGCTGAACCAGAGCTGGTTTTTGAGGAGTATGGCCACTCCCTATTTCCCCCATTATATCAAAAACAGGACTGCAAAACAGCAGAGGGCACCCCAAGAACCTCAATGAATGCTCAAATGCTCCATCTTAACCCATTCATTTTGGACTTGCTCAGGAGCGCCCGCTAGCGTCTGAGAAACCCAGAAGACATTACAGAGTGGAAATTCTCCTCTCTACAAGTTCTCTGGCTGAACATATTTTCCCCTGTTCTAACACCCAGACACCACCATGAGAGGCTTGTTAATTAGTTAAAGAGGTGAATCTGGCATATTGTGGTTTGAATTACACTTCTAGAGACTTCCAGGGCAGCAAACACAGGTAGACACGAGTTTGGGTTCATTGGAGAACTTTGGGTCGATGTGCTCTGGGCTCATGATCATCCTTTTATTCTGTGGAATTCAAACAGTATTGAAATACATCTCTCACCAGCGAGGTTTCACAGAGCAGCTTGCTTCCTCGCACCAGGTTGCCGATGGTGATGTGGAAGTACGTGTTTCCACTGCTCCAGTTGGAGATCTTTGTGAAGGGGTGGGTGGTCAAAATGTCCTGGGACAACACAGAGAGAGGACAACATGTTTCATTCAAAAGTCATTCAGTCAGCTACACTCTTACAGAAACTCTCTCACACAGACTCGCATACCTTGGTCTTTGGGTCTATGAGGCTCACTCCGTGTTTGTTGATGGCTATCAGCAAGATCTCAGGGAAGTTGGGCTCAGTGGTTTGCTGCAGGTGGGGGAAATGAGAGGAGATGAAGTCACTGTGCCCTGACTGTGCCAACCAGCTCTCTGTTTAACACCAGGGAGCCTGTCATGGCGCTGCCAGCCTCGCCACCTCAGCCAGACAGAAGTAGGCGACAATTCTGGATCATAAAGCTTATGGTTCTGACATGTTCTGGTACAAAATGTGACCCATGTCCCTATGAGCCTTCAGTTCCAAGACATTAATGGGTACACAGGATTGAAACAGCTATATTCTATATATATATATATATATATATATATATAATTGTCCATTTTATCAGCTCCACTTACTATATAGATGCACTTTGTAGTTCTACTGTTACAGACTGTAGTCCATCTGTTTCTCTGCATACTTTGTTAGCCCCCTTTTACCCTGTTCTTCAGTGGTCAGGACCCCCATGGACCCTCACAGAGCAGGTACTGTTTGGGTGGTGGATCACTCTCAGCACTGCAGTAACACTGACGTGGTGGTGGTGTGTTAGTGTGTGTTGCGCTGACACAGAGAATGATCCGCCACCCAAATAGTACCTGCTCTGTGAGGGTCCATGGCCTGACCACTAACTCTCGCTAGGACGAAGCAATCTGAACGAAACAACATGCAATGTGCTACTCAGTATATGGAGCTTTGAACAAGCCGGGATGCCCCTGCGTCGGAGCGATGAGGTAGGTGCCGGACAGCCGTCGCAATGTTTAACCACTGTTCGCAACTTCCGGGTGCATACCCCCGTACACCTTCATGTATGAAAACGGAGATCACTTCCGGCATCGCATGTAATGTAATCGATTACACATACGTCAAGGTATGTAGCGTATTTGTTTGGTTCAGATTGCTTCATCCTAACGGGAATTACAACGGAATATTCGGGGCCTCTTTCAAGTGAATCTCCCTGTATAACAGTGTTAGTCAGTGCTGTAGACCTGCATTTAACGGTAAAGTAAGACTGTTACCTTCACTTCAAAGAAAGCAGAGCCGAACGTGGGCCACTTGAAAATGATCTTCAGAAACATCAGCTTGGCCTCCTCCCTCGACTTGCCAGCGTGCTTATTGAAGTACGCCACAATCGACTGCAGCAGAAGTTTGTACAATCAACACGTCAGACACAATAAAAAACAGTAAGGCAAAGAGCTCCACTTCAGTTTAATAGCAGGTGGAAGTGGAGTTGAAGAAAGTGGACAACTGGACAAGAACTGCCCAACATGCTTTGCAGTAAGAAACGCACCCGCTTCCAGTCGTCAGGGGAGAGCTGGCGGATCAGGTCCTGGGGAATCAGCTCTTTCAGCATTTTAGGGATGCTGGGAAAGTAGGATTTGTCGTCTTCAAATTTGACTCGGTAGATCAGAGCTGCCAGCTGGAAGACTTCGTCTCGCGAGCATTTGTGGTAACCGCGAAGATACTTAGGAAGCTCCTGGATGGAGGCAGCATTACAGATGGGATTACATGCAGTTACATAAAGCACAAACAAAATAAAGCTCACCGACACAGAACCCAGCAGAAAAATTCATATGAAAAGTATTATCTGAACAGAAGTGAGGACGACTACGAGCTGTGATCGTAGTCATCCACCTCAAGCCAACTTACCTGGTAGTAATGGAAGATAGAGTCAGCAAAAGAGTCCTTTCCTGGGACTGTGTTAGTCCACAGCTTCTTCATGAAGAACACCTGGTAGGTCAATGAAGGCACTATACCTGGTGAGCAGTAGGAGACAAAGACTTTATGACTGAATCAAGTCAGAGTTAAAAGCTTGACTTATGAAATCAAACTTGAATGAATCCCTTATTTCTTAACATTTTTAGTCTGTCTAGCAATAAACTTTTGCACTGGAGATCTGGAAATCTGAGAGCATCACAAACTCAACGTCAGTTTGTCACAGAGTCTCTTGTTGTTTAGTCGTGGGGGCGCTCAGACTAGACGACAAGGCAGAGAGAGAGAATATCACACATACCGAGTTTGGGCTACGAATAAGAACTCAAACTCCCAGATCTCCTCAGAGATCACAACACACAAACAAAGCTAACCTTACTGGACCTGTTTGTGCTTTTATGTGCAGTGAAAGTGCAAACTGGTGATTAATATGGGGCTCAGAAGTGCTGATACAGAGAAAGCTGGAGAAATATTTCACTGCAAACTGGCAGCAGAGCTGAAACTGTAAAGAGAGTGCTTTGACATCTGGATCCAAACATCAACATGATAACAGCTCCAATCTGCCTGTGTTTTACACGCAGCTCCTCTGTTCAGACAGCGTGCGTGCTGGTCTCTTTGCCTGTTTTCTCTGATTGGCTGTTGTTTGAATCACTCGTTGAGTAAATCTCTGACCTTCTCACACCACAGAATTCGTGAACGTTTTGAGTCGTAAATATCAAACGTCTGATTATACTGGAGGGTTTCCGATCACTGCAGAGTTTGATCAGGGGGCTAAAGATGCACTTGTTTCTCTTCTCACACTACCAGATCATCCATCAGTTGCGTACGATTGAGCTCCCCACCTGGAAAATCGCTTCAGATTGTAAACTTTTGTCATAAGGGGCAAATCGTACGACAGCGATTCGTAATATACTAAAGTCGTAATATTTTGAGAAAAAAGTCGTAATATTTGGAGGATAAAGTGGGCTAACTGTAGGTGGGTTAACTGTAGGGGGCTGTCATAACGCGTTGGGGTCTCAGTTGCTGTACTGGCGCCGGAGTCCAACACATTCCTGTCTCTCTGTGGATCATTTTGATCATCATTCTCACTGTCTGTGAAACTTCATGCCCTCTTTGAATGGTGTGGAGATGTAGCCCCCAATAGCCGTGTAGACGACCCTGCCTGCGATTCTCCTTCAACAACACAGACAGACAGTTTCCTCCGAGTCCGTCTGGCTCTTTATTCTAGATAAACAGCCGTTTCAGCCGGTTCTTATACTAATAACAGGCTGGTGCTGATGTGCAGGAGAGACAGGGAGACTGAGTGTTTCTTTATGGGTGAATCGATATGAAAGTAGAACTCCACCAACTCACCGCCCCTCATTTAACACGAGGAGGGGCTGCCTTCCCTTTGCAAAGCCTTTGGCCACAATATTGAGACCTTTCCTGGTATTAATGTCCTAATTCTATGACTTATTTACAGAAAATATGACTTTTTTCTTGAAATATTTCAGATTTTTTCTCGAAATATTATGACTTTTTTTTCTCAAAATAGTACAACTTTTTTCTCAAAATATCTATGTGAAATAGGGCAGAAAGACAGTGTATTAAAATGTGCAGGAGTGTGTTCTCTGTAGAGGATGTGTTCACTTATTTACACTCAGAAAATCAACAAAAACGTTTTGCATACGACTGAACTGTACATTTAAAAGATGAGCAATGATACTCCATGCTTTGCAATATCCATACCATCTTTAGCAGGTCTGGCTTTCTTGATCCAGTCAGTGAGATGTCGGACAAAGTCGAAGAAGAAATCACCTTCTGGAACACTTATCACCTGTTAGCAGAAAAATATCAGATTTTAAAACAACGCACTGTCATAACTTCTTTTCCAATCCATGTTCAATGACTGACATTCATGCTTTCATTGCTACCACAGTTGAAATTAATGCAGATAAAATGAATGCAACTTAATGCAGATGCAGCTGTACTGGTTAATGGTCTGAAACTGGAGGAAAGTGAGAGCTTGTCTTCTGTCCAGTTTCACTGTGTTCTGGCAAAGTCTGAGTGATTCTGGCAGTAACTCTGCTTGGAGAGCAGCTGATAGCACCTTATCGGAAATCTTTACAAACAGGCTGAAGCCCTCCGGAGATTTGAGCAGCAGGCGGCCGGAGATGTTCAAACAGAAGTCCTTAGCCTTGGTGCTGGACTCGACCTCGAAAGCCTGAGAGAGAGACAGGGAGGGAGAGAGAGAGCGAGAGGGAGAGAGAGAGAGAGAGAGAGAGTATTTACAGCAAGTTTGACCTCTAATCCAATTGCACAGTTGCACTGGGTCAAGTGAAAGGAAGAAGAGACATTTAAACCGCAGTGAGGAGACACTGCTGACCTGAACAGCCTGTTACACAACGTTCATCTAATTTCAGACAGAAAATTACACATGTACTGACTTCCAACTGAACCGGGTCTGTATGCAATTATGAGATTTGTGTCATTCAGAATGAGGAGAGAGAGGAGCGGATAAAGGTCTCTCTGTCGCACGCCTAGAAATCTTGTCATCTATGTCGCAAACAGCACAGAGATCCAAAGTAACAGGCAATATTTGATCAGTGGTTTGTTTGTGGTAAGAGACTCACAACAGTAACTGTGCAGTACAATGTGCAGAAGCATGTTCTCTGCAGAGGATGTGTTCACTTATTTACACTTAGCTAAGTGAAAGTCTTCAGCAGTGCGACTGTACAGGGCCTTTGTTGTCGTATTTTAAGCTTAATAAGACACACATTTGGACTGCAGACAGGAGAGTCAAGCACTCTCTGATTACACAGCCATGCTATTGTAACACATGCAGAACGTAGTTTGGTGTTGTCATGTTGAAATAAGCATGGATGTCCCTGAAAATGATGCCATCTAAAAGGCAGCATGTGTTGCTCCAAAATGTGTTCAGTGTTAACAACGTTTTCGCAGATGCAGTGAAGCAAGATATTCACTAATACCCCACCAATCCATGACAATCGCTGGCATTTGAACTTTACACTGGTAATAATCTGGATTCTTTTTACTTTGGCTTGGAGAACACAACAACCAGTATTTCCATAAAGAATCTGAAAGGTGGGCTCGTCAGACCACAAAAACACATTTCTCCTGTGTATCAGTCCATTTGATGAGCTCGAGCCCAGAGAAGTCGGCGGTGTTTTTGGAAGTTGCTGACATTTCCTGATTTCCTGAATTTGAGGACATTATGCACTGTAGAGGATGAAATGCCTGGCGTTTTTGCAATGCTTGGCTGAAGAACCTTATCAAACTGTTGTACTATGCGATGATGCATTTCTGTCAAATTGGTGAGCCTCAATCCTATCTTGCCTATAAAGGACTCTGCCCTTCCTGGATTCCTAAACTGTCCTAACTTTTTTGGAATGTGTTGCAGGCATGAATTTCAGAATGAGCATATATTCACAGAAAAATCAAAGAAGTTGATTAGAAGTTTCTGTTTTTTTGGGTTTTTTTTGTTTTTTTTTTTGTTGTTTTTTGGGGATTTTACCTGCTGTCCCAACTTTTTTTGAAATTGGGTTTGTAATTGACCGGGGTGCCCAAACTTTTGCATACAACTGTAGATGCCTTAGTATGAACTTCCAAAACAAATGCAATTAAATTTAAAGAATATTTTTTCAAAATCAACCATTTTTCATGTAGGACTTTAGTGAAATTTATAGTGTAAAAATAATAAACACCAATCATTATGCCATCCTAATTAGCATGTGTGCTTCATTAAGAGTTAATTAGTGGAATGACTCTCCTCATTTATGCGTTTGAGCGAATCAGGTGAGTTGCTGGTAGGTGGGGTCTGATTTAGTAGAAGGTCAGTGTTTTAATGTCATTTTGTGAGATTGATGTCTTCACTGCTACTTTAAAATGTGAAAAATATTAAAAAACACTCATGTTTGGACTGGTACTGTACGTGTTCGCTCCTCTTTTACCTCGTCTGTGTCGTCTGGGAAGTACACTTTGTGAAAGATCTGAGTTGTCTTGTGCTGGATCGCCTCCACTTCCACCAGGTGAGGAGGATACTTCCTGGAGCCGTTCCTGACAACACAGGAGCAACATATTCAGAAGGAACCATTCACTGCAGTGGTTGTGTCTACTGAACAAATGCTTTTAGCTCACCTGACTTCATTAGTACTGATTTTAAAGAGCAGCACTCTAAAGGTGCCAAAACAGAGGAGGTGAATACACAAACTAACAACCTGGAGCGACTGAGTGACATGGAGTGATTTACTAATCTGGACTGGCCAGAAAATCAGAAAATAATGTGTTTTGAATTAGAATAGTGTGGATTTTTATTTCACACTAAAATAGCAGTTTCACAAAAAACTGAATTGCATGAAAGACAGAGAGAGAGAGAGAGAGAGAGAGAGAGGAGCAGAGAGAGAGAGGAGCAGAGAGAGAGAGAGGGAGGGAGGGAGAGAGAGAGAGAGAGAAGCAGAGAGAGAGAGAGAGGAGCAAAGAGAGAGAGAGAGAGAGAGAGAGGAGCAGAGAGAGAGAGAGAGAGTGGGAGAGAGAGAGAGAGAGAGAGAGAGAGAGGAGCAAGAGAGAGAGAGAGAGAGAGAGCAAAGCGAGAGAGAGAGAGAGAGAGAGAGAGAGAGAGAGAGAGAGGAGCAAAGCGAGAGAGAGAGATTTATCACTACTTTTCCATCATCAACATTCCATATAAAAGCTCAGAAGACTCATGTAGGTTCACTGGTGGTTTTATATAGTTAATAAAATGGCTGTATTTGTGTTGTAGATATCTGCTATGTTTTTTCTACAATAAACCATTTCAAACCAAACCACTCTGTTTACATCTCAATGACTGAATTCTGTAGAAGTTTTCAAAAATTGGTGGAATTCCCCTTTAAGGCTGTACCGTAAGGCTTTCTGCAGTCTCTGCATGCAGTCCAGGGCGAGCGGATGGTGTTTCTTTGACTGGAGAAATCTCTGGACGTGGGGCAGGAGGACATTACTGGGAGGGAAGAGTCCAGTACACAACCATAACAGCTCCCAGCCTTTCTCCTCACTGTACCTGCACACACACACACACACATCACAATGACCAAACATGAGGTTATTGTATATTGTCACATTAATATCAACTATAGTTTAAAACTACACTACACTAGAATCAACAGCTATAGCTTGGTTTCAAAGTTATCTCTTGGATAGACGTCAAAGAGTTTTCTATAACGGATGTCTGTCAGAGAGTAAAAGGGTAAACCTAGGAGCACCTCAAGGAAGTTGTCTTGGCCCATTATTATTTTTGATATATATAAACGATCTGCCTTTAGTATTGAACAGAGCCAAGCTGCAGCTGATGACACTACTCTGTATGCAGCAGGCAAGACAGTAAAGGATCTTTCAAAAATGCTGGATGAAGAATTAAAGATAGTGGTGAACCAGATTGAAGGCAATCAACTTACACTGATCAGGCATAACATTCTGACCACCTCCTTGTTTCTACGCTTATTGTCCATTTTATCAGCTCCACTTACTATATAGGTGCACTTTGTAGTTCTACAGTTACAGACTGTAGTCCATCTGTTTCTCTGTATACTTTGTTAGCCCCCTTTTACCCTGTTCTTCAGTGGTCAGGACCCCCATGGACCCTCACAGAGCAGGTACTATTTGGGTGGTGGATCATTCTCAGCACTGCAGTAACACTGATGTGGTGGTGGTGTGTTACTGTGTGTTGTGCTGGTCTGAGTGGATCAGATACAGCAGTGCTGCTGGAGTTTTTAAACACCTCAGTGTCACTACTGGACTGAGAATAGTCCACCAACCAAAAATATCCAGCCAACAGCGTCCTGTGGGCAGCGTCCTGTGACCACTGATGAAGGACTAGAGGATGACCAACACAAACTGTGCAGCAGCAGATGAGCTATCGTCTCTGACTTTACATCTACAAGGAGGACTGACAAGGTAGGAGTGTCTAATAGAGTGGACAGTGAGTGGACACAGTGTTTAAAAACCCCAGCAGCACTGCTGTGTCTGATCCACTCGTACCAGCACAACACACACTAACACACCACCACCGCGTCAGTGTTACTGCAGTGCTGAGAATGATCCACCACCCAAATAGTACCTGCTCTGTGAGGGTCCATGGGGGTCCTGGCCACTGAAGAACAGGGTAAAAGGGGGCTAACAAAGTATGCAGAGCGTAGAAACAAGGAGGTGGTCATAATGTTATGCCTGATCGGTGTATATTCTGAATGAGAACAGAGGTCAGTGTAACGCCTCTCTGCACAAAAGCGCTGAAACTTCTGCCAACAAGACATTTGCAAGTGACAGCAGGAGGCAACAAGACAAGCTGAAGAGACAGATGGACATACTGTATGACTTACTTCACATGATTCTCAGTTAGCTGTTTGAGAATCTGACAGTAGATCTCATCTTTCAGCGGCTCCGCCTTCAGCGCCCCCTCGAAGATTTGGTCTGTCAGTTCGTTCACAGAGCGAGTCCGTTTGGACGGATAGTCGCCCATATATTTCATCATGGGTGCAGAGGAGCACGTTAAGGAGAAGCTTCAGTTCACAGACACACATACAGAACTTACACAGAGCTCTAGTTAAAATAATAACAGTCTTTTTACTGCAGCAGAAAACACTTTGTTTATTATCTAATCGGCTTGGACAGACACATTTCAAATAAAATACTTATCTTTAACTCCATATTTATGTCCATATTTAAAATGTCACATTTGTGCCAGCTGTAAAGTTTGGTGGAGGAGGGATGATGATATGGGGTTGTTTTTCAGGGTTGGTCTAGAACCCTTAGTTCCAGTGAAGGGAAATCTTAATGCTTCAGCACCAAGACATTTTGGACAATTCTATGCTTCTAACCTTGTGGGAACACACAAATGACTGAGCCCCAGTGCACAAAGCAAGGTCCATAAAGTCATGCCTGGGTGAGTTTGGTGTGGAAGAACTTGACTGGCCCTGCACAGAGCCCTGACCTCAACCTCGTCACCTTTGGGATAAACTAGAACAGAGTTTGCTAGCCAGGCCCTCTCGTCCAAGATCAGTGTCTGACCTCACAAATCTCTTCTGGATGAATGGACAAAAATTCCCACAGACGCTCTCCAACATCTTGTAGAAAGCTTCTCAGAAGAATGGAAGCTGTTACAGCTGCAAACGTGGACCAACTCCATATTAATACCTATGGATGTAGAATGGGATTCATAAAAGCTACTGTGGGTGTAATGTGTAGGTGTCCCAACACTTTTGTCCATACAGTGTAAGTTAACACATCCTCTATACCGTTACTGTTTATTTGGTGAATTTAACACACTGGGGAAAACAGATGAAATATATGATGTGTAATTTTTTTTTACAACATGCTAAACCCAGCAAATAAAGAAATTATGCACTAGAATTTGCAGGAAATGCCTTATTTAAGTTTATTCTCTGTAGATGGTGAGTTTAATATATTGAAAAAACATAGAATTAAAAAAAATGTGCCATAACTTTCACAAATGTAGTCTAATGTTAACATAAGAGCAACTAGCTATACAGCGAAGCACATGTGTGGGGGTTGTTATTCACTTCATGCTTTTAGACGCCCATCTTAAATGAAGTGCTTCAATTAAAAATAGCTCATGTTTACAGCAAAAGTATTGGATTGGTATTTGTATCAACTGATACTCAAGGCTTCAGTATTGGTATTGGAGCAAAAAAGTGGTATCATACCTTCTCTAATAAGGTTTAATGAGGTTAGAATCAGGTGAGAGGCAAACACTAAAACATCCAGTGCTGTAGCCTTTCAAATTAGCTCCAAGTATTAAAAGGATATCAATGAAAGCCATGCAGGCCTCCTGGGAGAGCTCCTCATGGGCCAGGACCTTCTTCAGCAGGGGCTGTTTGATGGGCTCTCGCGTGCAGCACCACAGCTTGTCCTTCCCTCGGTTCTTCGTGATCATCACTCGGCTTAGAGTGTGTTTAGGAGGCGGCCTGGAGAAAGTCAGAAGTAGATAGGAGGGTAAGAAAGGCTCAGGGTCAAAACTGTCCATATATGTCCAACTACAATTTACTAAACCAATTCTCAAACTTTTTATATCTTCACTGCAGACAGTTGGCAATCCTTCTAGATGGGTCTCTATAGAATCTGATAGTTCTGCACTTTACTGTACTTTAACTCACAGGCCACATAATGAGCTCCATCTACCTTATATATCACTATATAAGTGTATAGTTACAGACTGTAGTTCATCTTTTGTTGCACCATTAATCAGCCCTGCTCTACCCCATTCGTCACTGGCCATTAACTGGACTACTGTCATCTAGATACTATGTGGGTGCTGGAACATGATGGCGTTGTCACTGCGGTTTTTACACAGGCCAGTGTCACTGTTAGGTTGAGAGTGAACTGCCTCCCAAAAGTATTCAGCCAAGGACAGCTACGTGGTCAGACACTGACCACCAATGAAGAGCTAGAGGATACCTAAGACTGTGCATCAAGAGATGACCTACAGTCTCTAACTGTACACCACCAAGGTGGAGCTACAACAGAGGGGTTTCTAATAAAGTGGCCAGAAATGTATGTTTTATAGCTGTACTTCTGTATACAGATCATTCTACCAAATTGGTTCAAAGTCAGAAATCAAAACATATTGCAGACTTTTAACTTGGATTTTAAACTAAAATCCTTTTGCCTTGAGTAACGTAAGGCCTTCAATATGTTCATTTTATTCAAAAAAAATTACTGAACATTTCATTTTGTCTCAACCAACACAATCATAACTGTACCAAAATGTTTCACTCATTAGTGATGTGGTGTGGAGTAATTTTTAGTTGGTGGACTATTCTCAGTCCAGCAGTGACACTGAGGAGTTTAAAAACTCCAGCAGCACTGCTGTGTCTGATCCACTCAGACCAGCGCAACACACACTAACACACCACCACCACATCAGTGTCACTGCAGTGCTGAGAATGACCCACCACCCAAATAATACCTACTCTGTGGTGGTCCTGACTATCGTGAATGGTTTAAGGGTGGGATAATAAATTATGCATATAAATGTGCTTCTATATGGTAAGTTGAGCTGATAAAATGGACTGAGTGTAGAAACACAACAGGCCTAATACCTAATAAAGTGCTCAGTGAGTGTAGAATTTGAAATATGGAATTGAAGGACAGTGTTAGAGACCTGGTACTAATTCAGTTACTAAAAAAACTTAAAGAAGTTGCTCACAAGAGGTAAGAGACTGAGTAAGGTTATGTGTGGACACGCTAAAGCTGAGAGATGCATGGCGAGGCTGGATGTGACACTTCACCTGAAGTACAATGAACAATGAACGCTGCTGCTCCCAATACACAAATGATTTCATTCTCATCAGCGTGACGTGATGTTTTAAGTGAGAACTTAGGACTTCATTAGACTTCATCATTTCTGTTTGTCCTCATGGTTTTTCGGTTAAGCACCACTATCATTTGTTTCATTGAGATTGTGCTTTGTTTTCTTCTTTTCCATTACCTGAAGTAGTCGTAGGAGAACTCCTCCAATGTGTAAGGTTTCACTCTCTCCACACTCTCCGGCAGAGCTACCTGGGACACGCGGATCGACTCCTGACGCTGGTCTGGCGTCATAGTAACCAGAGCCTGAGTCATACGCACAGAAAGAACCAGAGAGTCAGAGAGAGGCAGGAGAATAAAGATGCAGAGGTATTTGTACATGTGCAAGAGAGAGAGGGAGAGAGAGAGAGAGAGAGAGAGAGAGAGAACAAGTGGGGCAGAGAAACAGGAAGGAAGGTAGAATTATTAAAAAGAGGAGAAAGCACAGGAAATGATGAGTCATAAGGGGCACATCAGCGGCTTCTCAAAGAAAAGTGCCCACTTTTTCTAAAAAGTTTAGAGGCAACATCTGTTTCTTTAACCCGAATCAGATCCTCTGACGAAATATACAACAAAATCCATAAAACCTTCATCCATAAAACATTCAGGGCCTGATGTACTGACCCCACCTGAGGGCACGTTCTGTACGAAACTGGTGCACGAGCATAAACACACACATGCACTTCTCTTCCTCATGCACACGCATTTGAAGAAAAAGTGAGTGGAGGTATTACACCTGCAGCCGATTACATATTCCAACAGATTGACTACAGTCTGAGCAACTGGGGGCCGGTTTTGAGTTCATTTTCTTCCATCCTTTAAAACCAGCTGTTAATCTGTGTTAAAGCAGCAGCAGCAGCAGCTACGTTTAACAAAAAGTTGTATCAGAGCACAGAGTAAGAAACGCAACTACATATGAATCTATAAATGTTACGGTCAGCGGTCGCAACCCAAATGGTAAGAAGAGTCATTTTGTCCTTTCAGCAAATATCAAACCCCCTTGGGAGTCACAGCATCTTATGCACATTTTACCATGTTGGCTATAAATACATCTCAGTATGTGCTGATATCCTAGTATAGGCTAAAAATATAATATAAACAAAAACTGAGTTTTTTACGAGGTTGAAGTCACTTCTCATTCTCCAGCTTCTTGTTCGAATTTTTCTGTTCCACCTTAAATGAACGTAACTGCGGCACCATTTAAGGTGGAACGGGAAAATTCGAACAAGAAGCTGGAGAATGAGAAGCGACTTCAACCTCGTGACTTTTTAATGTTTGAACATATCAGCAAACCAGCTGTGGTCATTATAACTACAAATAAGTCCACTCGTCTCCAAATGATCGATGTTCATCTTAAATCTCTCTCTTTGCCGTTTCGTTAGCTACGAGCTAGGCAAGACTGCTGTCTGTGTTGCTATGGTGACCAGCAGTCTGTGCTGATCTTCAGGGTTAAAGGGTGAATCAGCAGTTCTACTTTAACTCCAGTGTTTAAGACCATTTATTGTTAAACTGTGTTGAACGATCAGCAGAGCTTTATTTTACTGTAAAGGAGGATTATTTTATTATTACCTAATAATTAACCCTCTATTGCACGGTGTTGCCATATGGCAACAATTACTTTATCTCAATTTTAATAAAAAGCAGTAATATAAAATGTGTTTTCCTATTTAATTGTAAAAAAAGGGTCTTTTGCTTTGAAAGAACAAATACTTCATGACATCACATGACCCAGAATTCTTATTAGGATGTTTTTATTAATATACATTTTAATTACCAATTAAAATTTTATTAACTTCCAATATTTGTAAATATTGGATCATGCATTTTTCAAAGTATAAGTTGGATTTGTTTGTTTTTGTTTTCAATAAAAAGATGTTTTTACAGAAAAATTAGATTTTATTGGTGTTTTTTTTTTTTTTAGATTTTATAATGCTATGGTACGATTGCGCATTGTTGCCATATGGCAACAATTTACCAAATACCAAATTTTTAGCAATAAATATTTTTTTCAAATATGTCCAATATTTAAACCATTTCCAATAACATAAACACATTAAACATCTTTAATCATGTTTAAGTAATAATTCATGCAATAGAGGGTTAAATTCTGCTGTGGAGCCACAACAGGACAGTAAAAGAGCTGCATGCGGCTCCACAGCTGCATGTTGCCGACCCCTGATCTAGGTTATTTTAGCAGACACACTTATCCCTTATCACTTACACTTATCAGACCACGTTTTGGATTATGATATCTCTGTGGAGAGCGGCGAGGCTTTAAAGGCAAGGACCCACAGATTTGCTAGCTTTGCTAATTGGGTGCTTTTGTTGCAAATGAGATGTAACTGCTGTGAATAACTGATCATAAAATGGTTTGAGGGAATCGAATCCTGGGATTTCAACCTTTCTAATGGTGTACTGCAGCATCATATTGCTGGATGATTTGATGCATAAAAATGACGTATAAAAAAACGAAGTGAAAGCTTTGTCGGAAGTGTGCTAGAAATGATACAGTGATCTAGAAAAGGTTAAATCAGTAATTAATGGGAACTACATATGAATCAGGGCCAGTTATTATAGTTTTTTAAACACACCGCTGTTTTTTCAGTACTTGTATTCACTCTTTTTAATTATCCACTATTGCTCCCATTGGGATGCAGCAGGAGACGCACTAAAAAAGTCATGCAACTAAAACAGGTTAATGCATAAAAGTCATTATTATTTGATTATTATACTACATATCTCCAGGTAAATACCTCACAGTACACAAGAATAGATTTCACTAATGACAAGATTTGGCTGAGGTCTGAGTCTTGAAGGCCAAACACTTCATTGGAATCTCAAAATGTTTACAGGCAACATCTGCTAAGGAAACCCAAATCAGGTTCTCAGACAAAGGCCCAACGAAGTTCATCAAATATTGAATAGGTATAGGTAGATTGGCTGAGTCCTGGATGTTGGCAGTCTAGTCACGCCTGCAGTATGACACACAGATTTTGTTGTATGCTGTACTGTCTGCTACCACAAAGAGTAGTGTGCAGTATACAGTATATACTAGCATAGTATGCAGTATGTAGTGTAGTAGCATGTACTTTCTAATGCACCCAATATTTCACTGACCACAACATCAGGCTGAGGTCTGGTGACAGTGGGCAGCACATAGACACAGTCAGCTGGAAAGTCCCCTCTCTGTTTGGTCCTGTCGTTGATCCCATGCGCCCAGCCAGAGGTCATGACCTGCTCGCCCGTGTCCTGGTCCAGCAGGATGAGGTCACCCTTGGAGAAGCTCAGGAACGTCGAGTCATCACCAACTGATCAGGACCAAGAGAGAAATGACTGACTTTACAGAAACATACACTGTCCATCTAAAGTATGGGGACACCTTGACTTTTTAAAATAAAACTCCAATTAATACAAATAAATATTTTTAATATATTTTATATTATATTTTATATTTAATGAGTATTTCATTATTTTTGCTAAAGTTTTTGTCACAAAAATATTTATACATGCAACACTGTTCTGCTCTAAAAATCCTGGTGCCAGATTCTCAAAACATCTTCCAAACCTCGGTCAACTCCTATGATTCTCAGAACATTTTGCCATATTGTCACGACATTGGTCAACTGTAAGGCTATTATCGTGAAATGGAAGCATCTAGGAGCAACAACAGCTCAGTCACGAAGCAGCAGACCATGCAAACTCACAGAGCAGGGCCACCAAGTGCTGAACCACGCCTATCTATCCTAATATCGTCTGTTCTCTGTTGCATTACGTACTACAGAGTTCCAAACAGCATCTGGAAGCAACATCAGCACAAGAGCTGTGTGTCAGGAACTTCATGAAATGGGTTTCCATGACCGAGAAAAACTGCACACAAGACTAAGATCACTATGTGCAATGCCAAGCGTCGGCTGGAGAGGTGTAAAGCACATCGCTACTGGATTGTATTTTCCATAAGACTGAGTAGAAAGTCCATATAAAGACCTCAGCCTTCATCTATAATCAGAATGTATTCAATTGGATTAGTAAAAATCTTTGCATGGAAATGAGCAAACATCTGACATGCCACATGTCCTTTAAGATTAAGCCTTGCGTTATTCCACAACTAAGTTAGGATTTTCTACCCTTCTTTTGAGAATGACGCCTTAAGAAAGTTGCTAGCTGGTCACAAAGGGGTTCTAGGTTAAGATGGTCAAGCCAGTCATCATTAGTAACCATGAAGCTTTGAGAATCCAGCCTCTGGTCAGTCTTTAATATGTCAAGTTTTTGCAAACTGACAAAGAAACCTGGTTGTTTATTAAAGAGCATTTTGACAAATTAGGTTATAAGCAGTGTAAGTCAATAACAGATATAATCATAAGTCTTTGCTGTCCTGAGTGACTGTTATATTTCGTTATAACAGCAGTGATGTGATTTTCTCTAGACCAGGGCAGAAAACAGGAGCAGTAACCACAGCATACCTGGACTCGGGTTATCCTGCAGTGCCACTACAAACTTTGACCTCTTCCTGAGGCCCTCGAGGAAAGTGACGACCAGGTCTCGAATGTCCTCTGCGTTGTTGGAGGTGAAGGTGTACTCATCTCCTTTAATGGTGGCCAAGGTGAAGCTCTGCCCCTGGAGTTTCCCTCCCCTGTTCAAACAGAAGGAGACCAAACTGGCTGTAGTTTGCATAGTACAAGTTTACAGACCAGACAAAGTGTTTGTTAAGTGTTTGCATATTTTTATCTTCATTATTTTTTCATACCTGCTGCTGGAGACAGCAGTGATCTCAGGGAAAGAGAGTTCCAGAAGAACCTGCTCTTGTTCGTCCACAAAGTAAACTCCAGTCCAGTTCACCGCTACAATTACATCGTTCTTAGGTAAGCTGGGCCCTGTGGGACAAACAGGGAGACAACAAAACAAGATCAAAGCCAGCTGTTCACTCGCTGTCCGCTTTTTTAGAATCTTTATTAGTCATTGTTGAGGTGAACATTTAGGTTCTGGATGTACATGTTCATGTAAAAACTCTCACTGTCCACTTTACTCAGCTCATCTCTCCTTGAGACTGTAGTTTATCAGCGCAGTTTGTGTTAGTCAAAGCTTCAATTCAATTTCATTCAATTCTTACTTTTCCTTTAAAATTATATTTTAGCATCATTTTAGTTACAAAATTTAACTGAATAAACTTTATTTGTCCCAGAGCAATTAATAACTGGGCATGTAAACATATGACACCAACCATATAACCATATAACATAGAGACACCTACAGACAACTGAAAACAAACATCTTAATAAATAAGATAAATAAATAAAATGCATAGTAAGCACAGCTCACTGTGAATGAGCACCGATCAAGCTGACGGCCTCAGGCACATATGACGCTCTCTGTCGGACAAACCGACATCTAGGGCAGCGATAATGGTGGCCCAGGGGCAACAATTCAAAGGCAGATTGGAGGACATGTGAAGGGTCTTTAATGATGGAATGGCCTTTTTTAGGGTTGTTTATGTAACAAAGCCAGTCACCTCTATGGAAAAAATTAAAACAACTTAAAAATATTTACATTTTGGAGCAAATACTTATCAGGCTCTGTAAATGGTTCTTATTTGTCAGTGTAATGTTGTAAAATACTCTTTAAAAATCTCAAACTGAAACCTAAATACCTTCTTTTTTTACTGTACTGCTTTGATTTTTGGCCCTCTGCCCACTACAATCTTTGTGCTTTGACCCCCAGGACAAAAGATTTGGCCACCCATGCTAGCCCTTCATTGAGAGTAAAGTACAGCTGATAAATTTTTGCCACAAATGGGCTACAGTTCATAATTGTACATCTATATATTGGACCTATTAGGTAGGTGGAGTTGACCATAATATAATATATGACCATAATGTGACCATAATAAAGTGGATGGTGAGTGTATATGTGCCATATGTGCCAGTGCATTACTCATCATTTCGTGGGGTCATTTCATGTCAGCTAGGGCCGGTCCAGTGTGGTCATAGATTTTCATAAAAAATTCAAGCAAAATCTACAGTTTAAACGAGTTTAACATGTTTGATGGGAATAAATACAGACATAAGAATAATCTTTCACTTTAAGCAGCTTAATGTACATAAATGTCTATAAGGGTTGAACTTATTATTATAGTGCATTGGTAATAATTTTTACTAAATTTAGATTTTATGCTGGACTTTTGAATCTTCAAATCATTAATTTCTGCATGCAATAATTGAGTACAAAATGACATCACTAACAATGGGACCAATCCTAAAGGGACTAAACCCATTTCCCTCAGACTTTCTCCTGAATTGGAACACTTATGTCTGAATAACAAATGCATATTGAAAGAAATGTATTTCCGTGTATTGTTCAAAATATATTTGACAATGTAAATATTAAAAAATGGCACTATTACAAATGTGAAAATATTTCAATATATTGACATGTTTGTGCATATATTTTAATATATTTAAATATTAGAAATTGGCACAGTTAAATATATTTAGCTTGTATATTTTAAAACATCACATATATTGCACATATATGTACATATCACTGCTGTCGGAAGAAAACCTCGTATCTCGTTTTTCAGTTTTTGACATAATTTGAAAATGCCTGTTGTCTTTTACATTGTGAGTAAATTTCATGAAGAATGGACCAAAAGAAACGACCCAAAATGATTTTGAAAGAACTCTGGTTCCATTGACTTACATTAAAAGTAAAGTAGGTTTTTTCCTTTCCTTACCGTTTTGGAGATATGAGGTTTTATTCCGACAACAGCGATATATTTTTCTTCTATATGGGAGTAAAATAATAACACATTAGGGCTCTTTCATAGTTTGTGTATTGTCTTTTTTTGCTTCAGGTAAACTGAAGTTTTTGCTTGAATTTTTGAACAGAAATCCATGACGTGACTAAGTGAGATTGCAGGGAATGGCCTTTTTATATTGTTGTACTTATAATACATACAACTTTTTGCAGTGCCTGTTTTAGAAATGAACATGTAGTCGAGTACCTGAGAATTTAAAGGCTTCATAGAATCTTGAGAATAACAAAGGCCACTTGTATCGAGCAAAATCCACCACTTCCTCTTTGACCTTCTGGGGGTCCACTCGTTTCTGCGTGTAAATGCCCTGCAGAAAGAAAAGGGGCTCAGGTTAGTTACCACGAACTTACAGTAACACAACAAAACACCAAGGCAAATGGCTTTATTTAAGCGGGCATGTATTCAGCTGCTGACAGCATTCACAGAAATCAGTGAAGATTTGTCCACCCAGCATTCTGTATCAAACTGTGGTTCCAAAGTAAAAAAACAGCTCTTTTGCATTTTCAGACCTTAAATATTTACAAGGATTATTTTATGATCTATTTAAACCCAGGGCTTTAACAGAAACGGTAACAATGTAAATATCAAAATCACAGATTATAGGGTACTTTCTATTTTTTTTCTATTTTTTCTAATCCCTTAATTTACACCTGTGCATAATGCTTTTGGGTGTTTTGCATTTTTCATTTTTTTTTGAAGATCTTTCTGATGTCTTTTAAAGGGAAATTGGGAGATTCAGGTTTATCATGACTTTAATTTTTAAATAAAAAAAACTCTGTCCCACATTTTCACATCCCGACTGAAACACAAAGAGTTTTAGTCCATAAGCAGAGCCTTCTTTTAGCCACACTACTGCATTTTAGAGCAGGAACTGAGACTCCATCATTGCCCCTCATGGCCACATGAACATTTAGATCCCATTTTGAAGAAAATTCTGAAAATCAGTGTGGAACATTAAGAACCGTCAATACCAGAACACATATTTTCTGCAAATAATAAATTTTTATGTGCTGTAATGAAAAATATGATGAGTTTCTGTGTGATCAGCTGTTCAGAGCTGTGTTTGCTGGTCATGCACTGGCTGCGTTTTTGAATGTTGCTCAAATGAGTTAAATTGTCACTAATGAAACAGCCACTACTGAAACACTTGGTAAGGTTTCAGTAGTGTTATGATTGTTCTGGTAGTGACAAAATGAAATGTCCAATCATTTATTTTAATAAAATAAACATAATTAAGGTTTAGGGTCACTCAAAGCAAAAGCATTTTAGTCTGAAGTCCAAGTCCGAAGTCTGAAATGTGTTTTGAGCTCTGACTTTAAACCAGTTGGTTAGAATGATCTGTACACAAGCGCCTTTAAATCCATGCAGTGGGAAGTTTCTACTCTCTAAGCTTGAAGAAATGAGAATTTGGAGAGGAAGGGGATGGGAAGTCATTAATATCATTAATAATTTAATTTTTAATCTGCTGAAAGTGTACGTGCCTTTTTATGGGCAGCCATGATGAAGTGGGCCCATTTCTCCACCGTCTTGGCGGAGCTGATTTCTCGGTCAGGAATGTAGGACGGAATGAGGCTGAGAAGACGTTCCACCAGGATCTCCGAACCATAGTCCACATAATACTGCTGAGAGGCAAGCTCTGCTAGATCATCCTGAGGGTGGAATGAAAACAAGAGAAGAGGACAAATTAAAGAGGAAAAAAGCAGAAGAAAAGAAGCAGAAAGAAAGAGTAAGCCACTCAAAAGACAGAGGCAAAATATATATATATATGAATGTTTCCACATTTTTTCACGTTACACCCACAAACTTAAATGTGTTTTATTGGGATAGACCAACACAAAGTAGCAAGTAATTGTGAAGTGAAAAGAAAATTATACATAGTTTTCAAAATTTTTTTACAAATAAAAATCTGAAAAGTGTAGTGTGCATTTGTATTTAGCCCCCCTGAGTCAATACTTTGTATGACCACCTTTCACTGCAATTACAGCTGCAAGTCTTTGGGGTATGTCTGTACCAGCTTTGCACATCTAGAGGCTGAAATTTTTGCCCATTCTTCTTTGCAAAATAGCTCAAGCTCAGTCAGATTAGATGGAGAGCGTCTGTGAACAGCAATTTACGCTTCTACTGGTCCTCACCCGGTCACAGCGGTACTCTCCGAATTTGACCCCGCGTACGATCTGCTGGTAGATGAGGTTAGTGGCCACCCCGTCCTCAGTGGGGTCGTGCCAGGGCGTGAAGATTTCCTTCCTAAAGAACAGCCTCCAGGGGGCGTTACGCTCCTGAGCTCCCTGCTCTTTAGCATACTGCTCACACTGTGACACAGCGTCCATCACATGGTCACTGCCGCTGCCCAGAGACGACACCTGGACACAACAGGAAATGAATTCACTCATTCATTCATTCAAATGAGGAGGGGGGGGGGTGAGAGAGAGACAGAGAGAGAGACATAGAGACAAAAAGAAACAGTGAGACAGAGAAAGAAAAAGAGCATTGAAACATGAGAGAAAATACAACAGAGAAGAGAAACAGAGAAAGAGAGAAAGCAAGAGAAGGAGGGTAAAGAAAGAGAGAGAGTGAGAGAAAGTCCAGAGGACAGCTTTTCTTCATTACTACTCATTCTGTCCATCCCTCCTCTTCCTTCTGCTCTTCA